TTACGGTATCAACGGAACTCCACTTTCTTTTTTCAAGTCATACTTAAACAATAGAACACAAAAAGTCAATATTGATGGAGACTGGTCCCAAGAATTAAAAATAAAATATGGCGTGCCTCAGGGGTCTGTTCTAGGTCCTCTGTTATTTTTAATTTGTATTAACGACCTCCCAGCATGTATAACTAGTAAAACTTATTTGTATGCAGATGACACAACATTTTTAAATATTAATCCTGATCTTAAACAACTTCAAGAGTTAGCTCAAAACTCAATTAATGAAGCTTCTATCTGGTTTGAATCTAATGGCTTCCTCTTAAATAAAGATAAAACTCAAAAAATTGTTTTTCGCCTTAGACCGTGTGAATTAAATATGTTGGATGGCTATGTAGACAACGTGAAATTTCTTGGTATTTATCTGGATAAGACTCTTTCCTGGGGACCTCATATTGATTACATAAGTTCTAAGCTTTCAAGGGTAATTTGTCTTATGACTAAACTAATACATTGTATAGATCAAAATTATATTAAAACAGCCTACTTTGCTTATTTTCAATCCATTTTTAGATACAATATTATATTTTACGGCAATTGCAGTAGGATAGAGGAAATTCTAGTCCTACAAAAGAAGTTGGTCAGAATTATATCCTATGAACCCCAACAGGAACACTGTAAACCCCTGTTCATTCAGCTACAAATTCCAACGGTGATTAACATTTATTTATTTGACTCTGTATCATACGTTCTAAAAAATCCCAACTTAATCAAACAAATTTCTCATGTTCATTATACTAGGAATAAAAGCGTTGCTACCATAGATTTTTTCAGACTGTCTAAAACTCTTAAAAGCCATATTGTAATCTCACTAAAAATATACAACAAACTAATACATTTAATACAAAAATATCCTGAAAACACTTTTAAAACAAAATTCTACAGATGGCTTTTGAACAACCCATTCTATTCTCTAAATGAATTTTTTGAAATGTCTGGTATTAATTTTTAAGTAGAGTTAAGAGTTTGCCAAATGACCAAATTATTTACTGTTGGACTTTGTTGGTTATGCAGTTTAATCACTTCAATTATTTTCAATGCCACAAATTTTTCTTAAGAATAAGATTATCTATTCAATTGTAATATTTAAAATGTGTATTGTAAAGTGTCTCATTTTATGTAGTTAGCTATATTGTATATTACTGTATTTATTAACTGACTATGCTATAAACCTTAGCAGTTGTATGACTTTGTCAATAATTTGTGAAAATTCTAAGGACAATAAACACATTTCATTTCATTTCATTTCATAATTAAGGCAGGAGTCAAGCAGATCAAGGAAAATATCCACTTTGCCATCTGGAGATCTGTACACAGATAACACAACAACCGAGAAGTCTGACAACAGGACGGCTGTAACCTCAAATTGGAGTTCAACACAAAATCTCAAAGTGTCTATTTGTTTAAAGTTTATGTCACAGGTGCTATAAATAGCAACACCACCATGAAGTCTTTCACTTCTACAAAAGATATTTTGCAAGTTTGAGGTTAGCTAGGTTAGTGTAATAACATTCCTCACCATTTGCCAGCCAGTGCTCTGATATACAAAGAATATCGCATTTAGCTTCTTCAGCGAAAATAGACACAAGTTCACTTTTGTTCCTTAAACACTGAACATTTAAAGCACAAATAGTAATGTCTTTGTGCTTTGGATCTGTGTGGACAATATTTTCATCTGTAGGCTTTGGATTTGATGGTGGGTTGTCTTTTCTTACTACGTAGGAGGTTTGTTTGTCACTCGTCGGAATAAAAAACGCTTGAGTAGGGTGTTCTTAGGCCAAACAGCAGGGTTCATCAACTCATCCTTTCGGTCGAAGTCGACTGAGAGACGGAAACTTGCATTTGTTCCTCTGGTTTCCAACTTTTCTGTTGTCACTTCAATGTTTTGAAATGTGTTTTTAACAAAGTCACTAACAGCTTCAGTTGTTGTGTCACCTTTTAATCGCCCTACAAAAATCCAAGCTTTCTTCTGACCAGCAGTTATTAATCCATTTTCATCAGAAGTTCCGATGACGACATTGGAATTTGTTTTTGTTTTCTTCTTGGTTTCAGTGTTGCCAGCACTTCGTCTAACGGGAGATTTGTTGACACCGTTTTTCAGATCCGTAGGTCTTCGTGTATTTCCATTGGTTATTTTTACAGCTGAAGCATAACTTCTGTTCCTACTTTTTGCTTTCACCCATGGTCCTGCCACGTCATTTGTTGAAGTTTCAGGCTGAGATAGGGTTGATTTAGGGAGACCCGCCATTTCACTTTCGTTAATATCGATTTCAGCATTCGATATTTTGGCGTTCGATATATCATTCATCGAATCAATGGTCACATCGGGTGATTCGATAGGGAAATCGGTTTCATGAACCAGTTTTTCCTGTTCAGTTTCGTTAGCCTTAACCTCCAATAATTTAATAAAATTAATGTTAAGTAAATCATATTTATTGGTTAGTTTCTCCAACTTGTTAGTCAATGTTTTGTTCGAATCCTTAATCCCATCAATTTGCCCAACAAGATTTCCTACCAGCTGGTGTAGTGCAGTGTATTCAAGAGCTCCTATAGATTGCTTCTTCATGGATGCTAGCTTGTCGGCACAGGGCTCGCAGATCCATTTCACCAAGGATCCTAAGTCAGTTATCTTCTTAAAACTTTTTGCGTCAATGTTAACACAGTCAGCATGATGCCATACATCACAGATTCCATCACACTGAATCCCTTTATCATCGTCCTTTACAATAATTTTGCACCGTGGACACACCAAGTTTCCATCACCGGCCGCCATCTTGTTCGTCATCCGGATGTGGATTAGGCGCCTGGCAGTTATTATCTATACTTACTAATTTGTAAGTTAACACTAAGTTATAGCCTACATTAGGTAATTGCAACATTTAACTTAAGAGTACTAGCTTACAGTTTCTTAACTACCGGTACCTACCTTAATAAGTTAATCAATATTTTTAACTATAGGCCTAACAATTATGATAAAATTAAACTGTCATAACCTAACTTAACTAACCAAACTTGAAAAAATCTAATAGGCCTAAAGGAAAAATAGCCTATTACCCTAATCGAAAAAATAATTCTGTTAATAAAATAAAATTATAGGTACGTTAAATGTCTCAAATTCTTACAAGAGATGTACAGTTAAGAAGTAACTTAATCACATTCTAAGCAAAATCTTGGACAAAAGGTTATTGTCACCGGTGGGATTCGATCTGGTTACCTCTAGGACATCAGCCGAGAACGCTAACCACTACACCACGAAAACTGGTGGCTGAACGTCGTATCGTTGAAATAATGGCGTTCAGGGTCCCCACAACCCGGTGATGTCACTGGCAGAGAATCCTCTAACTTACTTTTTTTTATTAATTGGCAGTGTCTAAATTACTTAGGCCTACGATAACCTAGTCATATAAGAATAGGTCTAAGTTACTCACTTTGTAGACAAAAAGGAGGAGTTTTTGGATAAAATAAATAAATAAAAATAAAAAATGCCTCGGGGTACCTTAATTTTTTTGCTAACAGTTGAAAAACTAAAATTTTTGATACGGTATCAATGAAATTGATCTGTTAATGCTATAAGGTTCGTTATATGAAAATGAAAGCTTGGAATTTCATCTTTTGAATGGTAAACTATTTGATTTGGAACTAAGCTGGTAAAAGAAAAGTTACACTAAATGACGATTTTCGTCATGGACGTTTTGGAAGCACAGACATATTACAAAAATTGTCATATTGCCAGTCCTAGAGTTAACTATAACAAGATCGCAGAGACTACAATAATAATAAATACAAGCTACCGTAACAGTAAAGAACTGGTAAGACCTTATAATAAATCAAATATACAGTTTTAGTACTAATGGTAACAAATGATGGACAAAAGCAATAGCAAGCAACAATAGGGTCTAGACTTTCATAAGCAGGACTCCAAAATACCGAATGAAATTATCATAATATATCGAACTTAATACTAGCAGTAATTATTCCATATATCGATTATTTCATTCGGTTAGTTAGCCTAGTTTAGATTAACCTAACTAAACAAACTTGATATATCGAATGAAATAATCGATATAACTTATTGAAAATTCAATATTTTCATTCGGTATTTCGGAGTCCAGGTTATGAAAGTCTCTACCCCAACAGCATAAAAAAATAAATAAAAAAGTAGACTATGGTAATAACGATAACAAATTATAAACAATGCATATAAGCTTTAACAACAGACTTAAAGGTAGCGATAGACCTAACATTACAAGGATGACATTAATGTGTGTGGGTGTGTGCATATATGACATGGGAAAGACGCTGTATCAACACCATACACCATGGTGAATCACTAACTTTCATGTGTGGCTATTTAAAGACACCACCTAGCTTGCACTGCACCTTTTTGGGGTAACATCAGACACCAAAACACAGATGTGTGGCCCTTTTAAGGCACCTTCCTAGGCACTACAAATCATTTGACTTGTTTCTAAAGGAAGGAATGTAAGCAGGAAAATGCTGCTAAGATGTTCCCTCAAATAAGTTTAAGACGTCCATCTTGAACGAGAAAGAAGAGAGCCCAAAGAAGTCAATGGAAGTCGGAAAACTCTTGCATTTTTTTAGTTACCGTACTAACCTACTAACACACCTAACAATCAACTGTAGCCTAGTTTGAGACAAATTGTAGTTGACCCATTCTTGGCCCAGAATTAGATTACCGATAGTCTGACAGCCTGTCTCAGAAATGTAAAAATCAGTCACCTTAGCACAGCCAATGTGGAAGTGAAACATTATTTTGGAGACATTCACTTTATTCAGCACCAGCAGTATTATAATTTTGTGTTTAAAATCAGATACATTCTGACTGTTCTGACTGTGGGAGTTAGGCCCACCCTAACTTTAAGACTTAAATGAATCCTGTATTAATCCAATGTAGGCTAATTGTGTTAAACCACCTTTTTGTTACACAGGACCGGTTTCCATTGCAACTACTATGCTAAACTACTTTGCCGATGATGACAGACTGGTTTCATTCCCTCGAAACATAAAAGTCAGGGTCTTCAGCAAAGAAGCTGGGAACAATCCTACTTTCTGGGAAATAGAGGTAAGCCCTTGTTTGCTATCTTAAAAAATATGTTTAGGTCTATCATGGTTAGAGATTAACTTATGTTTCAATGTGATATGCCAGCCTATCTAGTGAATAAATATTAAAACTGTTTTGTGTTTGCCATCTCAGTTAAGTTCCTGTGCATTTTTTTTTTAAGAGATACCTCTTAACTATAGACAGGGGCTGTGAACTCCGTGAAAAGATTATATTGTTTAAGTAAAATAATAATTACAACTTTAATTTTAAAGAATGTCTCCTAAAACAGCTCTTGTGCCAGATCTTCCAAAATGTTTTATTTAGTCGTCTAACATTAGTCTACATTTTGGGTGAAACTGTTTTTTTAAGTTACTTCATTTATTCTGGTTAGTAGCCTAACCAATTGAAAAAAAAGTTTACAACTTTCCAAGATCTGCAAATTAGTAATTACCTTAGATATAGAACAATTAAATGTAGGTAACAAAGATATTCGGAAGTAAGTAATTACATATTAATTAACTGTGTTGGTACTTTACTTCAGAAGACTCATTTATTATTTTAAAAACCTTACATTAAGCTATTAACGATACCATGTGCTAATATATTGCAGGAGGAAGGGTCTAATAAATGCATGAATTTACAAGGCAGTCGAAAACATTTTCTTGAACTCTGTCATGAGGTGGTATGTAAACATTTGGGTTAATGGTGGAGGGTCTTGCTTTTTTGGGAGTGTTTGTCGCCATTGAACTTGTTAACATAATTATTTATAGTTATTTTACTGGTTGAGGTTTATATCAGGTCTTTATACCATAGCCAATCTGAAATTACTTTCTGGTTGATTCCTTGGTAGACAGCTACCTGATCAATTATTTATATGATCTTAACCAAGCATGTAGTCTGTTAATTCCAGGTTCAGGTAAATTCTTATATATATTTATATTTCAGCTTGTGTTATACAGTATAAATTTCTTGGCAACTGCAAAGCTCTACAACTTCAAACATTTAAGGCTGTTTAATATATAATCAGTTCGGTTAACTCTACCAAATTTGAAGTAAGGTATCATCCCTGGACGAAAGACATCATCATGTTAAAAAATTAAAAAATTTAAATTAAAAAAAATTTAAGTTTAAAAAATTTAAAAAATTCAAAAATCATGTTACAAAACATTTTCTCACCAACTTCTTTCATTAGTTCCGATTTCATAACTCTGTAGGAATATGAAATGGCATATTTCCGCTCAGCAAGGACTAATGAAAAATCATTCATTTCTAGTCTTTCTTAACTTTTTTGGCTGTCCAAAATATTAGTTTTCCTGTCTCAAACAATACTCTGCCTGTCCCAAACAATACTTTGTCTGTGTTAAATACACTTTTTCCTCTGCCCAAGCTAATGAAGTTCCCTCTTCATTTAACAAGAGTTTTATTCTTGTTCGTTATGTAAAAATAGAGTGTTTTTGTATTTTGTTTTGAAATTTAAATAGTTTTATCAGCCCACTTTTAATAAAACCATGCAAGGGCTATGACAACTTCAAAGAAAATCATGAGATGGTGAAATAATGTTTGATTATTTTAAACCATCATGATTTAAGTGGTTAAGTATGAAAACCACCGTTCATTATGTGTCAGGAAGTTCCATTCTGGGGCTCAATACTTATTTTTCAATAGCTCTACCTCTTGTCCCCCAAATAGGTAACTTTAGGGTGTGAAATATATGATTATATTTTAAATAATAATTTTTTGGCAAACATTTCCTTCAATAACATTTAAAATGTAAGTTAGAAAGCAATATAACTGTTGCTTTGCTCTATCCACATATGAATACCGGTAATATCTTTTGATTTACTTAAATCATATAATTTTGTATCCTCACAGGTATATGGGAAGCGAGGATACGCGCCCAAGGGACTTTTGAGGGAAGAAAAAGTTCTGATACCTTCAAGTAAACTCACCCATATTGTATCTACCAGAAAAACTGACCCTATGAAACAAAATGCTACAGACACAGCTATGAAAAAACAAGTATCTGATTCATCTAACCTTTTATCTGCGACTCCTGAACTAACAGCGGCCAACTCAAAAGGTTTTTTTTCAACGATTGGGGGAGTGTCTGCCGATTCAGTTCCGATGAATTCACCAGACATAAAGCCCCAATCTACGAGGAAGTTTCAGGTATTTGCCGGAACAACATTCTATGATGATGTTGTGAGTGAGAAACCTGAAAGTCCTCCAACAATAATCGATAATAATGCAAGTGAAAACCGAAAAAGTGAAGAGAATCCCCAACAAGCGGTAGAAGAAGCTGGTGATTCTAATGTGCCTTCATCTGAAGTAAAACCGGTTACAGAAGAAATTGATGAAAAAAACCAGTCACTAAATGAAAAGCCAATGGAAAGAGTAGTAGACACACCAACTGGTACATTGATTAAAGAAGAAGACAATTTGAAGGAAGAACAGAAGGATATGGGAACCCAACCTAAAGAGGGTGAGTCATCCTTTCTTGGAAGCGTTATTGACACTTTAGGCAGTTATATATCTTCTGGAGCTGGGGAAAGTGTAACAGAAGAAGGAGTAGAGGAGGAGGAGGAGGAAGAAGAAGACGACGAAGGATCAGCAGAGGAAGAAGATTCTGAAGACGAAGAGAAAAAAGACACTAAAGATTCTTTAGATGAAACAAAGATGGACAAACTGGAAGAGGCCCTCCAGCATGAGGGAGAAACTATGGACACATTGCCTAAAACTTCATCAGACACACCCACATTCAAAGATATTGTTGATAATGGATCTATACACCTAAAACCAGACGATGTACAAGATTCTCATAAAAATACTCCAAAAGATGAAACGTTGTTGGAAAAGCCTGCTAAAGAGTCAACGGAAAGTACAAGTGAGATGAAATTAGATACTTTAAAAGTGGATGCCAAGGTTGATGATATAGAACCTCCATCAACAATATCAGATGCTAGTAGCAATATTCTGTCTGATGGGCCAGAGGTTGGTAAATCTGGGCCATTAGTCAACGAATCAGATTCAGCAATTGAAGGTGATCAACAACACACAGAAAATACAACTAGTCCTGATGTCTACACCGAGCAATCTGTCCAACAAAATACGGTTAATGACATGGAAAATACCAATGAAAAGGAAATCGGAACAGAGGATAGTATGTCTCATGTCAAGGAATCTTTAAATGAGAAAACTGAGGGTCAGTCCAATGAGACACTAGAATTGAATGTGGAATCAAATGCTAACGTGTTACCAAATGAAGGGATAGTTGAAGATTTACCAAGTGAACAGCCAACAGTGGAGCAGGTTGAAGTGGTTGATAAGGTAGAAGTAGAAGTACAGTCTGAAAATGGAGAAAAACTGGATCAAGAACAGCCTAACATTAACGAAGTACTTGTCCAAGGAGAAGAAAGCTCTGCAGCAGTTCAGATTGAGAAAGAGATCAAGAATGATGAAGTACTATCGGCAATTCAAGATCAAACCAAAACTGATTCACCACAAGATGGCGGTCAATCCAAAAAAGAAAAAGTATTGTTTGAAAAACAGCCAGTGGATGAAACTCCGCTTACAAAGGCATCTGAAACTGATGAACCGAGAGATAAACCACCTACAACTGAATCACTAGATGGTCAAGACCAGCCTAAACCTGATGTATCACAATTGCAAGAAGACAAAAACAGTGGTGAACAGATTCAGCAAAGCTCTGAAACTGCAACAGAAGTTCCTGCACAACAACCTGCTCGCCAATTCATGTATGGTTCTAGGCAGCCTTCTCAAATTCCCTTGTCACCTGAGCCTGTTGAAATTAAATTACCAGACGAGTCTCTAAACAACACAAATGAAGAAAATTTGCCTCAAAATCCAGAATACCCTACTTCTCTTCCGCCAATGCAACCTCTGGGATCTCCAAAGTATTCAGCAGTCGTCACTCGGCGAATACAAAGCTCTGATTCATACACAGTACATCAGGTCAAATATGATTCCGGAGAAGATGACAGTGCTACGACTGGAGGTACCTCAAACAACGAAGAGACTTTACCACCTCACCTGCTTCAATCTCAGTCTCCAACATACTCAAATGTGGTCACTAACAGGATCGGTTCTGTCACACCACAAGACAATTTAGAGGATGAAAATACACCCTCATCAATCTCTGAAGCTCAAGTAGAACCAGATGCAGTTAAAACAGAAGATAACACATACCCACCTAGTCCACTTGTTGAAACTATCCAATCAGAGGTTGTACCTGAAGATGCTGAACCTTCAAAAACAGTGCCCATGGAAAGTAACGAAGTTCCCATTGAGGATTCACCTAAAACTTCATCTGATGAGGTAGTTGAAAACACAATTGATGAGAGTCCTGCAAATATAATGGATGAGACCGCAACAAATATAGTTGATGAGACAATAGAAGAAACGACTGAAGGGATGTTTTCATGGGTTACCTCATACCTTGATGTATTTGGAAGCAAAGATGATGCTCAAGAACTGCCACCAGCGAGTGAGAATTTGGATCCGTCTAGAGTGACTCGTTTTGCAGGTTTGTTCTTGTAATAATTGTTTCTAATTATTTATCTACTATTGATACATAAAAATCATCCTGACTTTGGTCAACAATCAAATATGAACCTAAAAACATCAATGAATTCAATGTTTAAAACTCAATGTGTGTAGAGTTTTTATTGCTAAACCTTTTGTATGACAAACAAACATACAAGAAAAAAAAACATTCAAGAAACAAAAAAACAACTTTATATTTATTTATGCTATCTTATACAAATGTTGCAATAATCACAGTACACTAGTTACTGTACTGTCTGTCTATACAATTATTCAGATAAAAGTATGAAGTTGACAAAAAAAGTGAATTGTCAGATTCTGATCACATGACTTGGCACAATCCCAATGTCAGCTGTGTCTATTGTTTGGGCCCAGATGGCTGTTTCAAGCTCAGTCAATGATTTGCATTTACCGGACTTTTACATTCTTTTTTTAATTTTGTGAATAGAATTTATTATAGTTATACATTTATGAGTTTAACTTGATTGAAGATGTCTTTAATTGTACAGTCAATCGGTATGTTATTTGTTACTCTGTTAAGAAAACTCTTAGACCAATCTTCTTTTGTTCAGGAAAAATCTTTTATTTGTTTTAAGCTCTTTAGTCTATTTTAACAAACAATATATAATGTATACACATTTGATTGCTATATCATCATTCTTAATGTTATTAGGAGTCTTTGTAATATTTTAAATATGACACATGTCAACAAATCATTTGTGTCTGTAAAAAGCACATTTTTAGGTTATTTTTGTACAATACAATTTAATAATTAATAAAATAGATTGTTTATTAAATACTGTGTGACCTTGAACTTCACAGTGCTTAAACATGGCTTACTTGACCTTATCATTCTTATCAATAGCTGATGCTTGAAATGAAATTAAACTGCACCTAACCAAGCATGTTTAGCTATTACAAATGTTAGCCTATGTATTTTTACAGTTTGGAATATTCTACTCTACAATAAGTTGAGTTGACCTATTAAATTTAAATTACCGTACCCTCCATGAAATCTAACATTAAATTTATTTGCGGGATTTTTTTCATTAATAAACTAAAACTTAGCTATCATACATCATTTCTTGTTTTAATACTACTAATATAAAGCAATTTATTTTTTTTCTCAAATCTTTACATAACTTTATCTTAATTTAAGTAGCAGTGTTCTCAATTCCTAACAAAAATATGATCTGTGATTGTGGAAAAATTTTACTATTTTTAAACACATCAAAACCAAGTGGTAATATGTAGGGTTTAATTTGGATTATTTTTCGGAACATACTCAAGCAGGATTTAACATGCAAAACAGACAAACAAAAAAGTGTCAGCGGGAATGTTTTGAAAGTAATTTGTGCTCAGTTGACCTCAGTACGACGGCTTGTGAAATTAAAGTGTTTGCAGCTGTGTACACAATGGCAGCACCATAGTTTAGTTTGGTAGTGTTGTCACACCTGCGTAGCACCATTGTTTAATGTTGTGATGTTGGCAGAAGAGACGTGTTCTGCTGATGGTGTGGAAGGAAGTTGTCCTTTTGGGGAAACAATGCAGAAAGAAGTCACATGGCAGGAGACTACTTATTCTACAGATGTGAGTTTTCAATGTCTATAGGTTACATTGTAGAAAATGTAGTAAATAACGTTAAAATAAGGTTTTGTATGTAAAAGGTTCTACAATAAAGTTAGCCTATGTGTTAATGAAATCTGACATTTTAAAAGGTAACAAATATTTCTAATTGATGCTAATTGATAGTATAGAAAGAAAAGTTGTTGTAAATTGTGTGATAGCATTGACTTTTTATTCTGAAGAAGACTTATCATCTTTGTGGACAAGCTCTCACAACATTTTTATTTAAAAAGAACATAGAGTGAGTCAATCACAGATTAAGTTAGCGTCTAACATTTTATTTTTTACCTTATGTTATGTCACTAAGATAGATGACACGACATTAAAGATGTTCATCTTACAATAAGTCATCCAATCAATTGACCGTGGTTAAAAAGTCCATATATGAGACAGAAATAAATCATTTACATCAGCATAATCTGTTGGGCTCATTTCAACAATGCCCATTTCGATTGAAATACTGGTGACAACTTAAACATGGGGACAGAATGACTAGTTCTGTCAATGGTACAATGATCTCCCCCAAAGATTTAAGACTTGTGAACTGTCCGCTTTCAAAAAAACAGCTAAAGCCTGGCTTGTCGACCGACCAGTGTATTCGGTCGATGAATACTTTAATGTGTTGCACCGAGTAAAGGCTCAAGACATCTTGCCCAAAACATCGTAAATAGTTTATATAGTATTTTTAGTTTTTTATCTTTGACACTGTCTATCTAGAAATTCTGATCAATGACGTCGCAGAAGGTATTAAGTTATTAAGGTATAAGCCCTTAGTTTTTTATATTCTTAGGTAACTGAATCCCTTTTTGAAAAGTTTTTTCAACAGTGAGGTCTTATGATTGTTTATCTAATTTTTCAAAATTTAGTTTTTAGGATACATATATTTTATTTGACTTTTTCACCAGTTTTTTTATATAACGGGGGATTTAGTAAAATGAGTTAGTTTTGGTGTTCACCAAGGTAGTTTTATAAACGCCGTCTTGTTTGTTTCAGATGTGGGAACTACTGGATAAAGTACCTCTGGAGGCTACCATCTGGTTGATAGTAACAGCTGTTGTAGTCCTCATCTTCTCACTGGGTCACTATTATATTGAGGTTAGTTTCACATATGGAGGCTGTTTATGCATGTTGCTGTAAGCAATATAACTTTTAAACCACAGTGGTATGTTTACTTCACTTGTTTAGCATAATTTTAGGCTATGCTTTTTAATCTAACAGGTTTACATTAGGACCAATTATCAATTATTATTTTGGTAAAAAGATCAGGTTTTCTACAGTCCACTTACAAAAAACATAAAAATATCTATAGCCCTAAAAATACAAAAATATGAAAATTTTTTATAACATTACAAATAGTTTTAATCTATTTGATACATATCTTATCCTGTTTGTCGTGGAAATAGTTCCTTTAAGTTCTTGGAAAATTAGATTTTGAAAATAAAAATAGGCTATAGTTTGTATTATGAAACCTATCTCCAGACCCTTTATCTTCCACGAGCTGGCTTGGGCCATAAACCATTGGCCAATCCACAGACAAACAGATGTTCTGGAGCCAGGTTTCATCATACAGAGTATAAAAACTTTCAAAATCTGATGTAAATGGTGCTTTAACCATTTTTTCATCCGTCTGCTTCTGCTAAATTTCCTCTATATAGATTTTTCAACATTAGACCTATAATATTTTTACCCAAAGGGTTTTAGAGTTCATAGATGTTGAAAGCAGATCAAGGTTATTGTTATCTCTTTGGATTTCAGGCTCACAGGAGAGATGGGCCGTTGGTTGCCGTGATTAACAAACTAGAGAGAGAGGTATTAATATTGAAGAAAGAAAACTGCATCATGGATGATCGACTGACAATTGCTCAACAACAGGTTTGAAGGACTTTTCTGTGTGTTATAGAATCATTAGAATTTATGTGGCTCATAGCTAATGCTACGTTTTAGTCACTTTTGTATCCAACTAAACTAAGTAAACTATTAAAGGGATATTATTTTGGTAATCTAAACTAATATCCAATATCTAACTTTAACTTTTACTACTTTAATTTTAATTTTACTTCTTTTTACTTTAATTTTAACGTTTGTACCTATGTGATAAGAATCAAATATAATATTTCCTTTGACGGTCTGAAATCTCCATTATAGAATTTTTTTAATTTGGTTGGTGATAAGTATTAAATTTTAAAGTTATTTTAATGTTTTCCAAAAATGTTGAATAAAATTCAGTTAAGCTTTGACCATCCATTCTTAATCTTCGACATACTATAAAGTGTCTGATCAACTTTTAGATATTTTCAAAACAATACATGTTTATTTTATTTATTTATTTGATTTGATTTTACATTCCAACGGACAGCTCCATTTTGATATTTCGTACAAATTAGTGCAATACAAACAAGACTTACTTATAAAGCTAGTTATACAATAATGTTGGGTGAAAAACAAAGAATCAGAATCAATTGATACCAACAAAAAAGACGGCAAAAAGACAGCGGAAGCAACAAAACAAGTGAAAATAAACAAAACCGTTACAACAAAACAAATCAATAAAAACGTTACAATGAATAACAATAATAAATTTGATTTGAAGAGTAGCTATAACAATTAATAGTTAACAAAAAATAAAGTTTAAATTCATTAACAAGAAATAACAATACATTAACAAAGAAAAACGGTGTAGAGTTAACAAAGAAATAAAAGTTTATAACAAAGATAACAATATAAAGATAACAATGATAAATTGAAAAACTGAAACAATGTTCAACAATATTAACAATGTTCAGTTGTGTGGTTTACTGTGGAGCTTAACAAATTTGAATGATAAACTGTTTAGTCAATTTATAACAGAAGTTTGGTGGGTTTAACAAGTAATATTTAATATTTTGCAGTTGGAAACGTGGAACACAAGTTCTACCGAGAATGATGCTTTGCTGGTGGAATTGAAACAAGAATTGGAGGAAACTAAAGTAAGTAAACCCTTACTTTTAAATTAGTCTCTTTCAATGGGGGGCATTTATTGCTAGAAATGTAATTTAAAATTTAATAGGTACTATTTTATGAAAATGTTATGGATATTCTATTATTTTAAAAGTAGTGCTTAATCTATATTATTTTCAATATTGCAGGATGTGTAATTCTACAAACTAGATAATACTCAAGTATTTTTTTAGAGATATCTTACCCTAAATTATTTTCAACCAACCTAATTTGACATGATTGGTTCAATCAGGCATGCAGTTAGGTAGTAAGTGATCCAATCCGTTGCATTCTGATTGTCATTATCTAGTCTTATTAAACAACCCATTGCCGAATTTTTATTTCTAGGTTGTATCTATTCGTTCTTCACTGAATTTCCTGGAAATTAAAGATATATGTTTCGTAAACTAAAGAAACTATTGCAAACAACACCTGAGAGGAATTTGACTAAGGATAATATTGAGTATGACGTTTCTATTGTATAAATTAAGTAGATATTAACAGTGTTGTTGAGGAGTGTTTTTTTTTCTCTTTGCCAAAGACCAATTATTGTAATATCGGTTAAATAGAGTGGCTCGAAAAGAGATGCTACATGGAAAACCCTTATTGTATTAACATTTCCCTTATTATATATAGATGTTCGAGGACGTGAGTTGTGCACATGAAGTGTGTATACTCAGTTTTTGATATCTGTTGTAGGCAGCCAAGGCAGAGCTGGAAGAACAAGCAGCTCAGCTCAAGGAGGAGCTGGAGACAGTGACGGAGTCCGGTCTAGAGATGCACAGACTGTTGGAGGAGAGTCTTTCATCTCAGGACGGTTCGCAGGTCAGCTGAAATATCTGATAGAATATCCTTTAACTGCTAAACTGCTACAGCGATAGCTAGTTCATACACACACTTTGTAATGTAGTTATCTTATTCATATTTAGGGCTACACATTTCTGTGAGTACATGTAAAAATACAGTTTCTGTAACTCAAAGTACTCAGATGGAGAAATATTTTTTTTTAACGATAGTGGATGCAGCCTTTTGACTGGCCTATTGATAACGGACGTGTTGATAACACAAAATTATAATATAGTAGACTCCCTCTTATCCGGACATCGGTTTAACCAGACTACACTCGGTGGAAATGACATCTCTTTAACCAGACAATTTTTATCAGCACATCGGTTTAACCGGACTAGATCGGCAGGAAGTGGGCGGTACTGAAATGACTGTTCTCGTGGGAAAGGTTTGAGACCAGTCATCATGTCTCTAAATACAATGTTCTCCTAAATTTAAGCCGAGTTTTTGGGAAAACCTGTTATCCGGACTGGCCTCGGTCCCGAGGAGTCTGGATAAGAGGGAGTCTACTGTACAAGTGTATATTCATGATGAGGTTATTTGTTTTCTATAGACTTTTTAGAACTTCACTCTTTTTATGATTTAACTTTAATTTGTGACGTTCTTAGTAGAGGCTTTTTTTAACCTAACCCAAATTACAAGTAGTTAAAGGTGTACAGGCTAAAATTCTCAAGTTTTGATTCAAGTAAAAAAAAATTGCTTTAGACACCAGGGTCAGAATTGGGTCAAGCCAAAATCAGATGAAATATGAATTGTAATACTACAATCGGTACATGCAGTATTGCACATGATTATTTTGTGATCAACACAACAACTTACACTGTGTAGGCAATATTGTTAACATGTTTTGTTAACATGATATAAAAATCTTGAACAACTTCTGCAGTTTCAGTAAAATCATGAGCATCTTCTGTGGTCACGGTAAGATCGAGAACATTTTATCGATCATAGAAAAATTGTGAACTCTTCTGCAGCTTTGGCAAAATCAAGGATTTTACGGGGTCATGTCTCAAAGTAATTTATTCTGTACATACCATTTTCCCAATTTGATGAGCTTATGCGCGTCTAAATTACAATGATATATAATTTTTAAATAGTGGATTGTAAAGAGGTCTTGATGTTTCAGGTGTTGCTGTCTACGGTAGAAACTCTTAGAGAGAAGCTCCAGAGACAAGAGGAGGAGATCTCCGGCCTCAGTGACACACTGTCTAGCAAGAACGCAGAGGTCAGTCATCTTCTAAACTTCTAACATGAGAATAATAGGTCAAAGTAATTCAACCAAAGATAGATACAGCAGTAGCCTAAACAGTAAAGCTGAACAAAGAGGTTAACTATCCTTTATTTCACATTTTGACTTAAATAAAGGGCCTAGCAGCTAGCTTACCTTAGAAGTACAGGTAGGCCATAGACACAGAAGGCACATAAAACACACAAAACACAATATTTCATCCCTGAGGGGATTTAGTAAAGTGTAAAGAAAAAGAAGAGAGTTAACAAAGTGAAAGTATTTCTAAACTCTCTTTCTCCACTTTACACAGCCCCACAGGGGAGAAAATATTGTGTGTTATGTGACTTCTGTGTGTTCTATGGCCTACCTATAATTCTTCAAGGTAATCTAGCTGCTATCCCCTTTATTCTACAATTTCAAAGTACTGGCCTAGAGCCTTTCCATGAACAAAACTAACTTTATTTCACTCTGTCAGAATCAACTTTAGAGGCTAGATAATGAAGTTTTTTTATATGCTGTGAACAGACAGAATGTATTGATAATATTATTTAAGAATCTTTTAATATGAAAGTGTCGGATACAAAAAAACATTTAATGAAACAACCTGTATCTAATAATTTGTTTTTAAAGGTGGAGGAACTCCATGGGAGACTGGCTCAGTCTGCAGAGGTGGCTAGAGGACTGGAGGACAAGGTGATCTCTGTAGTGAGAGAGAAGGATGAAGAATTACTCAAGTTGAGAGATAAACATCGCGAACTGATCTCACAGTTGGAAGAGGTAACGTAATTTTGACAATGTATAAATGAAGAGATTTGATTATGTCTTGTAGTAAAATATCTTCAGGTGAGGCTTTTTGCTTTTTTTATAATACTCGAAATTTAGCCTTTTCCAAATGCCATTCCATCTTTCTTATCTTTTAAGTGGAAATATTTAAAAAAGAAAAATTAATTTATACCTGCAACTTTTCTAAAACTAGTCTAGGCTAATTATTTTAGGGATACATTAAGGGAGTAGAAATGGATACACAATTAACTTGCTTAGGAAAAGCGTACCATGAAGTTGAAAGCACAAAGAATTAACAACACAATATAAATTCGATATTTCACCCCTATAAGAGAAATATTGTACTTGTCTTTCTTCTTAAGACGTTTTTGTGTTCTAAATTTTGTTTCTGCTTTCAACTACCTGGAATTCTTAACTTGGATTATGTATCCATTCTCTCTTCCTTAATCCTTAATGTATTCCTGTGTGCTTTCTACTCCATAAACCTGTAGTAAAATTATTTTTACATTGTGAATGCTGCCAAATTAACACTACTTTTGGGTTCAATCAAATGTTCCATTAAAAGTTATCATGTTCATTTTGTAGTCAATTCTCATAGAATATGAATCGGTGTCAAAAAATGTAGGCCTAACACTATATGTCACATTACTGTATGTCACTTAAAATTATCAAAAATGTTTTTGTTAATAAGGTATTAAATGATTAGTTACCAAAAAATATTAAAAATTGAATCCTAAACAATTAACTACCTATAGAAAAATAAACATGTTATTGAAGCTTATGACATAGACTTACATGGCTCAGCTTTGGTGTTGAGTTGGGTTTCAAGGCATTAGGCCTAACTATTCTAATTAACTTTATAAACTGTGCACAACAGTTTACTTATTTTTTACTAGGTCAATGTTTGTGTGCTCTTTTTTAGGTAGTCATGAATTAATTTCTTTAGACTTGTACTTATAAGTCTCATTATGCATGTTCATTAAGATATTTTCTCATGTTTCTATTCACGCTTTGCTGTCATGCAGAATGCTGGGCGTACAGAGGTATTGTTTGCTCATTATTCATCATAGTGTATCCTATCAATTGAATCATATTCATACTTGAGTTATTTTTAGTTAGCCTTTCTCATAAGTCATAATCACTTAGGTTTAAAAAATATCAAATGAACAGTTATGAAATAATATAATCCCAGTGAATTGTTGTTTGCATTAAATTTAGATTATTTAAGGTTGAAATAAAAATTTAACTACAGTATTGATATTCTAGCCAAAAAATTAAGAGTTGCTTTAAATCTTGAGTAGTTGCAATGAATTGTAAAAAAATACTGCAATTTACTAGTAAAAGGTAAATAAAAAAAAACTTAAACAGAGGTAATTTTTTAGTTAAAAAAATTGTTTATTATTTTTTTCAGTTTTTTATTATTCACCTTTTAAATGAGATTCAGTTTTTAGACACTTGTAAGTAGTACAAACAAAAAACGTGATACTTACTTTTTTGTATCTACAGGTGTTATCTATAGCCTTTTATATGCTTAATTTTTGTGTCCTAATCAGATGTGTGTTATAGTTTTACGGAACTATGCTTCTCCCTGTGCTCCACTCTATGGCATTTTTTGCTTTAACTTTCTGAAAAGGTTGTCTTATGTAAACTTTTGCTATAGTTGCTCTGAAAATAAGTAATTGAGTTTGAATTGAATAAACAATTGTTGGTGTTCTAGTAATTTTACTAAACAAACAATTCTACATATTTCATCGACAACCCTATCAGACTACTCCTTTCTCAGTAAAGTATTATCAATGTTCAACTTATGGGGTGAATGTGGAGGAGGCAAAGTAGTACTTTGCAGCCCTATAAATTTGTAAAACACTGGTAGACAATACAATTTAAAATAGAGGCCTTTTGCCATCATCAGACACATCGCAAAACTCTTAGAGCATAGCCAAAAGGCCTCATTTTATTTTATTTATTTATTACTTAGTACAGCACATATAAAATTAAAAATTCATGAAATATTGGTTATTCCAATATTACCAGTTTTTCTTGAAGAATGGTAGACAAGTGACCTATTGTGATCACTGTTATACAAATATTTTTAAGTCATACCCGGGTATTTTATGAAGTCATTGAAATTATTTTGACACCATGCTTATATTTTTTAATAACAAATTTTTTCTCTCAGGTGATGGAAACGAAGGCTTTAGACGAGACTCGGCTTTCCACAGAGATGAGCAAGTTGCGTCTCGCCATGGAAGAGTTGCAGAAAACTCTTGCAGAGAAAGATTCTGAATTGGACACTTTGAAAGAGGTAAATTTTTTAACTAACCGATTTGAAAAAGGTATTTTCTTAAAGTAAAATACTTTGAAAGAGACAAATCTCCAATCAGACACTTTAAAAGAGGTTATTTTCCTTTGAATACCTTAATAGCTTATTCCCTAAATGGGAAATTCACTAAAAAAGAGTAAAGAAAATATTTTGAAATTGAAAAATTCTAGATTTAAATCTTGTTTTTAAAAAAGGTAGTTTATCTTTTGAGCGCTTTGTAAGAGTTAAATTTTCAGCTAAACACGTTAAAATTGGTACTTTGTTATCCCCTCCTCTCAAGTAGAACTTCGAAACTTAATATTATCAGAAATAAAGAAAAAACAATGTTTCTACAATTTCCAATGGTTTCAGGTGGTCAAACAGTTGAGAGCGACGGACAGCAACGAGAAGATCGAAGCTCTGTTTGACGTTGTGGCAGTTCAAGCGAAACTGAGGACTGCAGTGGCCGAGAGGGACGACCTCAGGGAAAAGTTCATGGAGGAGGAGGGGGCGAGAAAACTTCTAGAAGGTTAGGAAGAATAGATGTTATATCTTTGATTAAGTTGACATCCCATTTCCAAATTACATTTTTCCCGATTTCAAAGTAAAAATTAACATACTTTTAGTTCAATTTAGCAATTGATAAATATTATTGATTTCTGTTGAATACATCTACATTTTATCTAGACAATTTAACTAAACTATTGACAACCGGTTGACTGTAGCTCTTTTATGTCATATTAACTATCTATCACAATAACACAATTTTAGGAAAAAGTAGTTTTTTCTGTAGTATACTTTTTGAGTAACAATGTTCTTATTTGACAGAAAATTGGCTATAGCTGGTCCATAATGATGTGTTTGTCAGTTCTGTTGTTCTGTATGTTTGCTAAACTCTTGTAGTTTACTTAGTTTCTTTAAATAACCTAGGGTGGATTAAAACCATATTCTCTCTAGTTACTACTTATCATTTGGACCTTTCTGCGGAGGAAATTTTGTGTTGTTTTGATGCTTGGTAATGAGAGTGCTGGTATACGGTATCACCACATATTTGACACTTTTTGTAAACCTTTGATCTATTTGAACAGCTTCAATCATATCTCTTTGTTAACTATTGCGTTTCGTCCTTCACTCTTACCAACATTGCAAACTGTTAACTAATTTGGAATGAGAGAGAGTAGCATGCTAACATCACACTTTCATTTTACTAGTTATCAGGTGTCTATTACGCAACAAATTGGCTTTGAATGTTACAATAGTGATGGAAAATCGCCATGGGCTGGGAGTGTGCTCAAAGAAAAGCTTATGATTTAGAGCATTGATTTCTATTACGGTCCATTTATGTTTAAAGGTCACATGAAGAAGATCACTCAAGAAGTAGTTGAGTTGAAGAACAGTTTCGAGACCGCTGAGAAGGAGAAGATAGAAGCTCTTACGAAACTTCAGGTTCTCTCAAACTACTTCAAAGAAAAAGAGTCGCAGTTGCAAAAGTAAGCAATATTTAAATAATGGTTGGATTACTAATCTTGAGGTTAAATACCTTGCTTCCAACGTAATCCTTGGTATTCTTAATGGCTACCGGTTTCAACACACTTATGATGTCATTGTCAAGCCTAGACGTTGTTGTCGCTCCTAGGAGGTCGTCAGATAGTCGTCAAAGCACATAAACAAGACAGATAAATAACGAACACAAACAAACATCCTCAGAAATGAATAGTTGAATCATCGTTAGGGATTGAACAAGTAACTTTCAGACTGAAGGCGAGCACTACCTAGCTTGTCCTCCAGACATATAGACCCGCTGTTTAGGCTACACACCTAAAAAAATCATGTAAATAAACCAAACTCAAAATTGGCACAGATTTCACAATCCAAATTCACGATTTACACAAATTAACAAAATCAACTTGTACTCCTTAAGATACAGTAGAGGTACTGTAAAGTTTTGGTAATATTTTGGTTTTCAGGGAGCTCGGGCTTCAAGAATCAATGTGGCTTCAGAAGCAAAGTGATGATCATAGTATCTATGAACAAATGAGATCCTTACGAGAAGAAAATGAAAAATACAAGTAAGTCGGCTAGACTAGAGACCATAGAAAAATTAGTGAACAAAGGGAATTGTTTTGTTATCTAACAAGATGATAAGGTTTAAGGAGGTATTGTTCACAGAAAATCCAACTTTATATTTTAAAATAGTTGTCTTACTTTCAAAAGACACATGAATAAAAAACCAGTTACTTTTATACATGTCCAGGTTTACAGCTATTCTTGTAATTTTTTCCCCTTTACATTTACAAGTTTCTGAGCTAACAACTCAAACAATAAAAATTAATATTAATCTATTAATATGGTTCTTTCTTTATGTATCGTTATCAAAACATATATTGTAGCAAGTTGGTAAGTAGAAAATGTTGATGGAATATAAATTTTAACTACATTTAAATACCAGAAAGGGGAGTAACCTTTCTTAAATATGTATAATTTATACACAAATTAAATTTTAAAATATTAAAACAATTAAGTTAGGTTTCCTGGAACTTGACAAATTACAACCCAAACATTTTGTAGTATTCTTTTGTACACTGAGTAAAAAGGTTTGTCTTTACGTTGTAAAGAATCGTCAAAGCTGAACCCCAGACCAACAGCGGAACGGCCAAACCTTTGCCGAATTTGGCAGAAGTGAAGACAAAGAAGAAATCTAACCCAAAACTTGGCTCAATGCGGCAAACTACTGGGTTTGTCTTGATTCAAATCCCTGCCATAATTACCCTTTTGTAACCCCGCTACTCAAACGCTTTATAGTTTATTCTAGTATCCATTTGCGCTCTTAAAGATTGTTTATTGTTTTAATTATAAAAAAGCCTTGTTAGTATATTTGTAATAATTTATGATTTTTTTTTGGTAAAGATGGCTCTAAGCCAAGGTTTTTGAGGATTTTGTAATGGATAGGTTTAACTGTAGGCTTACCTTTATGGCAAAAATTGATGAAAATGCTCAAATAAACACAACATTTTCTGAGCTACTAGCTCCTTCTGCAGTAGTCGAGTCTCTTTGCTATTGTAGAATGTTCACTTTGTAATAATTTAGTTTTGTATGCAATGATATTGAAAGGGGTTATTCAAACCCCTTAAAAAAACAATAAACCCAAATTCCAGGAAGGCTGCTTTCAATTCTAACGCTATACAATGGCTATTACAATATCTGGGTAGATGAATGTATGCCATGTGTTTTTAAAACTATTGCCAGATCTCTAGTTTTCCATTTCTTTGTGGAATTTCTCAACCCTTAGTAGTTAATTACACCAACCCCACATCAGTATGTCCCATATTTTCTACTAACTATGTCCAGTTAGAGTTAAAGCTTGTTTTTGAAATTGTAGCAACACCATTGTATACAGCTTAAGTATAGTTATACATTTTGGCGTTAGTTATTAGTTATGTTGATTACTTTACAATTTAAAAGTAAGATAAAGGTGTTTCTTAATTTAAGACAATAAATATCCGACTTAAAAAGTCTGTATTTTTACTGGAATTTACAAACATAAGGGTTGATTTGATAAACAAATTGAAATTCAACTAATTATTTTTTCTCTATTTACAGGTTACAGAACGAGTCTTTGAAGAAAGAAATCGTTGAGCAAGAATCTTCTTTCAAGATTCAGTTGGCAAATACTGAGCAGAAGGCCCATGAAAACTGGGTAAATATGAGAAAGCTTAGCTTTTGAAAGTATTTGCTTAATATGTGTGCTTACATTGATAATTTTTGATAACCATGCCTTGTTTGGTAGGCCTACAGTAGGAAATTTTGCTTATATATTATGTTTTAAGTAAATACATGGATTTGCAGAGTAACATTCAAGGTGTTATGGTTTTATAGGTTGCATCGAGGCAGGCAGAGCGGAAGTTGAAAGAAACCCAGCAGGAGGCTGCGCAGCTGAGAAACAGACTTACAACTGTAGAGAAAAACACAGCCAACTACAGCCTTGACGAGAAACAAAATATAAGTATGTAGGACTACATAATTTAGCTTTTCAGTATGGACTGAAATGAACATAAAATACATGACTTTTTGTAAACAGACCTTCATTAGGCCTATACAGGGTATATATAAAGTCCCGCACGGGCTTAATATTTTCTAAACGACAACAGATAAATCAATAAGATTTGGTACATCAACACCACACCTAAAAATCTACTTTTTTAAGGAACTATCAATTTTCTGTCATATCATGGGGACAGAAAATTGATAGCTCCTTCAAAAACTACATTTTTAGTTGTGGTGTTGATGTACCAAATCTTAATGATTTTCTGTTGTCGTTTGGAAAATATTAAGTCCGTGCGGGACTTTATATATACCCTGTATAACGCCTGATGGTGATGAGTTGGAACTGACATATCTCTGAGATGGATCGCGTTATGATTGCGTTCAAACACAATCAATAATAAAATTTAAGATTTACTTCACTTTTGCTGCAGTCTATTGATACGTTGACTAAAAAGTATCAATTGACTATACGGAAAGTAGAATAAACCTTTAATTCACTAGTGAGAGTCCCTTACATCTCATTAATGTTGTAGTAGGGGTAAATAAGAGTAAATGAGCGTTAGTCACTTTAAATCAGTCATTTGTTTTCTATTTCTGCCACTAATTGTTTAACCTAAGTATGAAATATTTTAAAGTATATTTAAAGCTAAAAAAGAAGTTGTAGGTTTTTTTTACACAATGGAAATAAAGGTGGAATCTAATATTTAACTAATAACATGATCTAATATAAATTTCTGTCAAAACGGTTTGACTTTTGATATATTGTAACTAATAAACAGTACAATTGCACTATATCATTAAGAAGAAAAAAATACTAGTGGTAACATTACAGATTTTTGACAGACTGTTTGATATTTCCCAGGTGAAAGCAATGGGGACCCCTCGAGCCCCCCTCCGTCGTTGATGTTCCCCCCCACCACATCCCCTCCGTTCATGATGTACGGACCCCCTATACCACACGGTGACTTTGTACCCCCACCACCTCTCATGGGCTCCCCTTACCCCTCGGACTCCCGTCCTCCGCCTCTAGGGAGGATATCGTCACCGCCCCTGGACCACAGATTTTCTCCCCCTCCCCCTTTGCCTTACTCCCCTTACGAATATTCCCCGTACGGTCACCATTCCCCGTCTCCACCCCCGCCTCTGCCACCACACCATAGAAACGTACATAAACCTCAACCAAGAGAAATGTCCAGGGAACAAAAAGGTTTGTTCTGTTTATTAAGTTTTGCATGGTTTTATCTGAAGACAGATGACAATTTTATATAATTTTTTTTTTTTTTGATACTAATGGTGAGATTGTTTGTGTCTTCAGATTGTGATTTGAATACACATGTAATATTCTCTGTACTTTTTGCATGCTCATCAGAACGAACGAATTTTTCGAAACTCCGAATGTTTTGGAGTACTCTGGAAACAGGAGCCGAGTGATGCAAGTTTTTTAAACTACCCGACTTTTGTAGAAAACAATTGTTGTTTTACCATTCAACTTTTTCTGTTTTGCGTTTTAATTTAATTAGATTAAGATTTTTAATTTTTTCCTGCTTAGGGCTTTTGAAGAGAGTTGCCAATATTTTGTTGTTTTATCACCCTACAAAAATTAAAAACCTTGGTTTTTAGTTTGGTTTCCTTTACAAAATCAAGTTATGGTTTTTGTTGGAAATTGTATGTATGTTGATGAAATTATGTTGTAAAACATTTGTAATTTCTTTAGTTCATGTATGTGTACTTAAGGTAAAGGAATACATTAATTAGAATAATACACAACCTGGTTTATAGCTATTTAAAATATAATCTGAAATTTTAAACTACGATATAGGCCTACAGTTTTTTTCTTTTTAAATGAAAGTTGACCCCTTAAGTTTTACATTTTATTGTATAACCTATTCTAGTATTTCTAGTCCTTATGTAGTACACTTAAAATGTTATGTTTGTGTGTGCAGTTCTTGGATAATTATGTACATCAGCTGTTTGATTGTTACATTTTATTTTCAAAAATTTGGTTTGAACTCTGACACTAGACGTAACTAATTTTGTGTTGTAAATTTTAATTTAATATGAAACCTTGTATGTCCTATTTTTTGTACTTTTTCACCTGCTTCTTATTTCAATATTTTGTTCTCACACCTTTTTTATCTTTTCCCGCAGAACACGTGCCTACCTATTCTCCAGAAGCTGAGAAGACTTCTCGCAGGAACAAGAGATAGTTTAACATTGAAGTTAGCTGCGTACTTAGTCAATATTTTAACCTCAGCTTACACAACTGAGGTGTAAGTCTGATCATAATCTATCGGCAGGGTGTGTGACCTTGCTATTTTGTACCATTTGATGTAAAAACAGCCAGGAATCAACTTGCCAAACCAGAGAACAAGTCTTCTTAACCGAAGTGTACATAGTGTCTGTTATATTTATATTTTGTTCCATATTTATACATTGTATCATTAAGAAAAAATATCGTAAACATGTTTATTGAACATGTATTTAGTTTGTGTAAATTTTATTGTTTACAAAACAGTTTTAAACCGTTTTTGAATATTGTAACTATAAAATAGGCAAGGGCACTAAGTACAGTATTAGGGAATCTTCAGCCGTATTGTAAATTGAGGTAATTTTGAGATACAGGAAACATTCTTTGATTCAGTCAAGTATGTAATAAGTTAATTGTTTGCAGTCAACTTGAATGCATGTAAACATCGGCTGTCTATATTGTGTGCTGCTAGTCATCAATTTATGGTGTTCTTGTCTATACGAGTGCCACTAATTCCTATGTTCCTTGAAAGCAAGGCCCAGTTTTATGTGCATATAACATGAATAAATGCCTTAAATATACAATGTGTTAATATTTGAATTGATATTTTTTCATTTGTCCTTGTAATGATTATTCTGTAACTATTTTGTTTACAATTCGTTAAAGTTAGATCAGATTTCAATGTGGTTTTTCAGTTTTTTGTTTATTCTAATTATATTAGTGCTCTATTTTATTTTAACTGAGAGTTGAATTGATAGGGCTTGTCAAATAATGTATTTTCTGTTCAGTGTTTTGCTTTGACATATTGAGAGGTGTAAACAGATTCAACAAAAGTCCCAATGCATAATTTGCTAATTTAGCACAGAATCTTTTAATAAACCTAAATGAACACCAGTGCCCCAAGGCATTCCTTCAGGAGTGTGTTATATCATAGACAAAAATAATTACCGTAAATATAGACCGTATACTGTGCTGCGGTTACCATAAGTTCTGGCGCACACCGCTGGGAGGACCATGTAGTTACAGCGTACACGCTACATAACTACATGGCGCTCCCATGGTTTCGCCATGGTCCCATGGCGCTGCATGGTGTGTGCCAGAACCTATGGTAACCACAGCACGGCTGACAGTCAAAATTTAATTATTTTTGTCTCTGGTTATATCATAGACAAAAAGAATTAAATATAGACCAACAGCTGTGCTAACTGCATCACAGCTTTTGGCCTATATTTAATTCTTTCTGTCTATGGTTTTAACTATGGCGCAAGTGAGGTTAGGAGAAGTGGCCGTGTTGGACTTTGCCCTTGGCAGCGACTAGAGCTACCTCTTCCCTTCTATGTGATCTCTATCGATCATCCAGGAATAAACAACACCAAAGTTCAATAACAGATATTTATTGTTCTCATAGACAGGCAAGGTACAGTTGATCTTTTATAAAATAGAATTCTTTTCCATGATAACCATTGGCCATACCTCACCATACAATGTCACACGTATGTTCACACCATAACGTTAAATCTAACTCTACGACTATTCAGTGCTCTTTTAGATCCATGGGATGCAAAACAAAAAGCGCATTATTAAAATTGTAAAACTGCAATATGTATAATTTAACTGGTAATTTGTTTTATTGGTTGGTAGAAATTGAAACAAGTAGAGCAATAGACTATAAAAAACAATATAAATATCAGTAACATATCTAGCTTTCTAAAATTAAATAGTTTAACGAGAGTAAAGGAATTATCATGTATTAAAACTGTATTATTAAGTTTTGCATGACCTAATTTATTTGTATGGAATATTTCCTTTTTAAAACTATCAAATCAGTGTAATTAGGGTCTATTTAGGCACTTAGTAACTTGGGACTGGTTTTATCTAAGTTTTAATCTCAAGGGAAATTCTTTTTAAAACTTTTTTAACAGTGTATAATTGAAATGTTAATAATATTTTACTGTTTAAATGTGAAATACCTACTATTGTTGATTATAACAATGTGATACATTTTCCCCAAAATCTGCAAGAAGCTATGTTTACTATTGGTTTAAAACTTGATCTAATTTATTTCTAAGCATTTAAAATTTTGCAGTCACATTACCTAAATCAAAATACATCAGTTACCCAATTACAATTGCAAAATCACTTCACAGACTAACTTCAATAAACTTGACCAGCTTTCTTGAAAATTAACAAACACCAAAATGGCATAACAAAATTAATTACTTAGCTAGCGATATTAAACTAGTGAAAAACCTATACACTTCGTACACTTAAATATGAATTTATAATTTATACAGTAAGTTTAATACAAACATACATACAGTTACAAGATAGCTGCCTATGACTAGGACACTTACCTGGTATAAATGTTCCAGCCTTATGACAGTCAACATTTTTATTTACCAGTGTGAAATTGAGTATGTACAAATGTCTGCTCATTTTAGGGTAGCAGTAGGCATATATTTATGAATCCTTCGAGCTGAGAATGATATGTTAATGGGGATCAAATTTTTTATTATGATTTAGCCGAGAAAATTTTAGATGTACAGAAATTAGAAATGAGTCATTTTTTTATCCTACGAGACTAGACTCTAACCCGGGATTGCTTTTAACAAAGTTAAACCTAGGGGTTGAGGCATCACCACTTGGAAAAGTCGGTAATTTGTCATGATTCTAAATCGCGACTTCATGGATTGAAGTGCTTAGATAATATGAGTAACGAGATATACTGCTGGTACTTATTTTATTTGTTTTCTTAAGTTACATGCCTTGCAACTTTTTTGAGCATAAAAATGTTTATTTCTCTCAAAATACACTTGAAAATAAAATATCTTAGATATATTTTGTCACATTAATAATGAGTAATTGATGTAGCGGTATCTTTCTTATTATTATGATGATGGTGGTGGATATTGATTTTATTTATTATAACTGACTCTTAACAACTTCAAGTTTTCTTGATGACACTTGTATCTTTGGTTAAATATCCCAACTTAGCATTTAGCACTAAAATGAATAAATTTTAGTTTGACAGTTTTTAAACAAAACTAGTTTAGAATGATTTTTAACAATTCATCGGTAATTAGTAATTACTATTTCAAAATGTTCAGTAACTTACAGTTTAAAAAAGTTACTTCACCCATTGATTTTTCTCTTTCAAAAAGGTGCATAAACTCCCCTCGACTAGAGAAATTATTCCACACGTTAATTTCTCAAGGACAGTTGGAAGACAAGAAACGTTCTTTGCATGTCTCAGCTGGAATGACTCCACAAGCACAAGCGGTAGACTAACAGAACATTCTTACAAATATCTGTACAGTAGAAAATATGAACACGGTAGTTTACAAGTACATTCCGTTAACGAGGAAGTCTGCGTCATGAGCGTAAGGAGACTTGGAACCTCGCCTCATTCTGCGTCGGACCATTCGCATGCGACAACCGACGAGTACCAACATGATGCCCGTCACGCACAAACCTGCAAAGTGTCAAGATTTAGTGAAATGTAATTACCATGTATAATACACTATACATAAGTTTACCAATTTGCAATTAACTATGGAATCATTTTTCTTGATTAGTGTCTAAGTTAAATAATTGTAATAAAACGGCTGGGTTGGAAAGAAGAATTATTTCAATGAAGTGGCATACAGTGGTAGTCGGTGGAACAGCCCTTGCTTTATCCCATACTACCATAACGTATATCTACCATCTGTGTACATGTGTATTACGGACTACATACAGGGTGTCTCCAAACACTCTACAATTGCAAATATAAAAACTATATAAATTAACAAAACTTTAATTGTGTTGTATTATTAAGAAAATTGTATAACAAATCTAAGTTGAACAAAATTCAAGTTACATACCCATGGTCAAAGAGAGGATAGCACCTCGAGGATTCACGTTAGTTCCGTCAAGTTCAGACTCAAACGAGTTCTCAGACAACGACAGTTCCGCACTAAGAGTCTCAACTTTACGGTGAGCATTGTGGTGGCGTTCCGGATGATGATGGCTTTCTGGAAAGTCAAAAAATGTTTTTCTAAACAAGTTAATATTTTTAGAACGAAATTGGGCGCAAAATATGTTTTACAGCTGATTAAAACCTTATTTGAAGATTTTTACGAATTACGTCTTGATATGGATGGTATGGACCATTATAAATTTTAGATATTCTAAATCTCGATAATTTTGTATGTGAAACCAAATATTCTAATAACTTTTTATTTGCATTCTAATCGTTTTGTTATAGGGTGTCTGCTTTAGAAATAAGAATGTTTCTCGAAATAACAAGCATTCTTAAAACTGATTTTACAGAGAAGCAATGTATAGAGGAAACTTGGTAATCGGAAGACTGTGGTCTTTCAGCTTTAGTACGATGTGCATGACGGAAATATACTTGTGACGAGCAAGAAACACCCTGGGCGGCGAGCCCTGTGCGGAAATTCCCATCGCACAGGGCACACAGGGTCTTTCTCCACTGTGAATGTTGTAGTACATGAGGACGTGGGGCTGTAGACACCAGCAAATAGTGCTAGACACCACTTAAGTGCACCATTAAATGTTTCCTCTGTGCCTTACGTCTCTGTGTTCCAGCCATATTTATAACCTTTAGGTTTTTCCGTGGTCGTGTTGTTCGAAGGGTGATGAGCCGCAGCTTTCTTCACCGAAGTGTTAGAGTTGGGTGACTTGTTGTCTGTTTCAGTTTCTAGCAGAGCTCCTTGGTTTTCTATCTCAGCTTCGCCTTTTTGTGCTACCGGCTTGAACTGCAACTGAAAAAAACAATAGAAGTTTAAAATAAAATTAGATTGGTAAAGTGAGCAAAAAGAAGTCTGACCCGATTGAATGGTTATGCACTGTGCTATGTGGTTAAACTATTGTCTTTGAGGGTTAAATTAATATTGGGTGTTGATCCAAGGGTAAATTTCATTTTACCTGATTCCATAGTTACTAAATAGAGTAAAAAAACTTAAATTTGCTTGGTGTGTATATATCTTGTGCTATAGGTAATTTCATTCAATAAGCATTGATTTTCCTGTATAAACAAAATAAAAAGTTGCGTCAACAGTTTTTTTTACAAGTGGAAGTTTTGACCATATTTTGAGGCGTGTTGCTAATTGTGAGAAGCAAAATTGTTTAAAATTTCATCAGCATCCATTACCATACCATTGAGCAATATTGACTAGTGGCTCAAACGGTACCTAGCACCACAGACTTTGAGGCCAAGGCAGCGATGTTGTGGGTTCTGATTTTGGTACATGCCACTACTTTTTATCAGTACAGTTTACCCTTGTACTGTATCGGCTCACCCCTTGCTTTGCTGGATACGTTTCACACACAGGCCTCTGTGGATGGGAAAATTAAACCTCTTTAAAAAAATTATAAATTTAATATTGTAGATAAACTGTTGAAAAATTAGTGAAATGAGGGGTGTTTCTTTTAGCCATGTTTAGGCATTCCAACTTTCCAACATTATTTATAGTCTTATAGAACCTTTGAACATATTCTCATGTTTAACTCCCAATCAACATTCCGATCATCACCTTGACTGGTTCAGGCACGTTTGCTGGAGCGTTGAGTCTCTGAGTGATCATTTGAGGTTGTAGTCTGGTCCGAAAGTTCTCTTCGTAGTAGTAGTCCAGATTGTTAGGAGCCGCGGGAACATTGGCTGCTTCCTCCAAACTAGCTCCTACAAAACGTAGGATAGAGTTGAATATTCCAGTTTGGTTCCAACACAGAAATAATAATGTAGATTTAAGCTTTGAGATTTGTACTATTAAGCTAATAACATTTCACCGTGAACACACACTTTATTACCTTCCTTAGCAGCAAACCTGTAAGTTTATTTTACTAATTGTATTTGTACTTGGAATGGAAATGCAAAATTCATAGGTAAAAAATATCCTTAAGGTAAAATAATCATTTCAGAACTACTTAATAGCTTTAAATTTGGCATATATCTGCTAAGTGTTTTTTAATGTTTATAATGATGGGAGGGGAATGTTTAAACAAGACTTACCATGAGGTTTATGCCAGTTGTTGGGGCCCTGTTGTTGCTTGTGGTATGGGGTCTCATAATATCCGTTGTATCTGGCAAATTCGGGTTGAATCTGCTCATACTGGGGGTTCATGCTACAACATGGAAAACCATAATTGGTACAAGTAATTGTAAAAAAGGACAGACTTGGAATATTGAATTTGTAAAATTACTGATTGAATAATGAATATTTATACTGCCTTTTACCAGATAACTACCCAGTCTCATACATCCCAAACATACCGTAATGTGTCTAATTTCGATCATTTTTTTTTATACTCGTTTTAATTGATGTGGGTGATATGATTATGTAATGAAAAATAGGTAAATAATTGACCTTCATCAATGTGTATTAGCATAGACACAGTGAAGTAAGAGCTTATAGGACAACCGTGCACTTTCAGCTCTAGCATGAAGCTGTGAATGTTGTATGTTGAGGGGAGAGGGAAAAGGAGTGTGAGGGGGGTTGCGAGAAGTGAAAATGTTGGACTTTACCCTAGACTAGACACCAGGGACTAGTGCTAGACACCACTAAGGTGTACCATAGACTGTTTCCTCTGTACCTTACTTCTCTGTGAAGCACCAAATAAAATATTTTAAAAGTAAATGTCCTAAAATAATGTCAGATGCATACCAGTATTATAGAACTATTTTCTTACATTGTTACTGAAATTAAAAGGGCTTTTCTTAAGAAATAAAACTAGTGTTTTCTAGCTGCATACTAAAACATAACAAATAATATATATATTGTAAACCATTTGAAGTAAAACATAACACTTTTTTCTACATTTTGTACTTCCAAACATCACCCTATATACGACAATACAGGTCTAGTACCTAAAAGCCACTAACAGAGAAACTCATAAGCATAATGAAAAAAGATTTTCTTCGAGATTTTCAAGTAGTGTTTTATAGCTTGAACAGAAAATAACCATAATCTATAATAGATATGGATTGTAGATCGTCTTCACGACAGTAATCAAAGTATACATGAGTAGAAATTACCTATTTAATGACAAATTTAACATGCATCTTTTACACAACTAATTTTACAAATACATTTATATTTTGACACTATTATTTCACCCTTATGTACTAATCCTTAAAATCTTCGCCTTTTAACACAGTTCTCTTGAATCAAGAGTTGATATGATTAGATATGACTGTTTACTACATTAAAAAAAATGTACATGACCCATAAACCTGCCACGCTAATAAAAAAAAAAACTTTTTTGAAAAGTACCTCAATTTTTTATGAAAAATTTTAACCTCTTCCTAAACAATTTTGGAGCAAAACAAACCCAAAGCTATGAAATAATTTTAGTTATAACATTTTGAACAGCAACTTAAAAAAAGTTCCGATTTCGAGGTATGAAGCCTTATGAGTTTCTCTTCATCTACCAAGGGCAAGCCAAGGTTAGCCAAATTTGTTTCTCACCCTCCCCCCTCCACCCCCACCTTGTGATGGGGAGGTTTGTACCTTTCTGGCTGAGACATTAACCCTCCTTTGTGTGAGAAGATCTGGCTGCCTCCACCTGCAACATGAGCGAAACTATGAGTAGAAAGATAATGGTGTTTAGAATTGTGAGAAGGATAAAATGGGAGGAAAACCCTGTGATCTGGACTAAAGGAAGTGGAACTGTGGGGAAATGAATTGTGAGAGGTAGAATTATGGGAGGAAAATCTTGTGAACTGGACAAAAAACACATGCTGTAATATTCTGCAATAATTCATCGTTTGATTTTTTTTAGTATATGTTGACGAGTGATGTGCAGGTTGTATGGTAACTTACCACTGTTTGCGGTCCTGTAAGCCAACATTTGTTGTTCCTGTTGGTAGTTGGTCGGAGGCCACTGAACGGCTACGTCATTTGGAGGATGGTAGATACCTCCCTCTCCCTCCCGGCCGTACTGTTTGGCCTGTAGTAGGACAATCAATTTTTAATATTCACTTAATTACATCTGCAAAATATGTTAGCTGTGTACTGATCGAAGGATAAGAGGAGATTGATACAATAAAACTCGAAGGGATCAGCACAAATTTTCAAATTTTTTAATTAATGAATCATCTAGAGGTGCACACAATGAATAATCCACATTCAGTGGAATACTATTTTTATACATCCCTGCAAGTTTTCATCTTCCATCTTTAATGTCATCTTCCATGTCAATACAACCTGCTCTGTTGTTCATGTGTAAAACAAGGAAATGTTTTATTGGTTGAAGCTTCAGAACAAATTCAATACTGGCTACATCGTATTTGGAATAATAGAGCAAAATCTTCAGTTTACAGATTGCACCCTTGTTTCATAGAATGAGCATCAAAGGTAAGCATCAAAATAAATAAATGAAAATCAAAACAGTTACAGTACCCTATTGCAAGATTGGTGTGAAGTCTTTTATAATCTTTGTAGTTTATTACAGAAACTAGAATTAGTTAAAGTCATGAGGCTAAATACACATTAGAATCGTTATTTAGAACCCTTTTTAAACAATTTTTCTACATGAGCTATACAAATATTACATCGCAAATCGTAAAAATAAACAACATACTTGATTGACCAGTTCGGGAGGTGGCTGCGGATATTCCGCAGGTTGTTGCTGCAGTTGAGTCTGCGGTTGTGGTTGTTGTTCTAGCTGCAGACCTGCGTATCTTCCCCCAGCTGCAGCACTTCCCATGTGTTGGTTCTCTGAGGGACATAGTTTTTGTGTTGAGTCAATCGTTGGAAGTTAGAGCAACACTCATCTTGACTTTGATCTAATAGTTTCTTCCTAGTCTGTGTGCAATAGTTTCTTGAAGCAATTGACTGATATTCTTGTATTTTTTCAGGTTGGCGACCTCTTTTACAAATTTACATCTGTCCTTCCACAAAAAACAAAGCAAAGAAAGTGGTGAGCCTGTGTAGTAAGACTGGTTGTGGACATGTTGTGTCGGCACCAACTAGGACGTGAAGACACAACATTTGTGGTCATGAATTTGGTGTACTTAGCTAGCACTAATTTACTAAACTAATTTACTAATTTAGATAGAACTTAGTTGTACTAGGCCAACAACTGCTCATGGAGATCAAATCCACTGCAGTATTCAATGTGTCCGAGTCAAAGATATTTGAAGATTCTTGTGCCACATATTTAAACACTGAAAAATTTGTTGAAGGGCAGATTTATGAATTAGAAAAAAAAACCTATACAGAGGCAGCGAAAAGGATTTTATAGCCATATGCATGTGGCACGCGATAGGTCCGTGAGATATTTGGGCCATCCTCAAGCCAGGGATTTTTTGCGCCCCCAAACAATCCTAAAACCTCTTGCGCACTAGATCTGAGCCCAACGGCACGTTGACCTCAGTTACCACTACAGTACTACTATAGTAGTGGGTTTTGTAGTAATGGTGGGGCACCATTTACTATAGTGGCTCTGGCTAAATGTGTGGAAAATGTTTCTCTTCTGAAACGAAGAAAGCTGTTGAAGGACACTGAATGGGAAATTAGAACAGAAAAGGAAATTGTTGTACCAAACATTTGAGGAGTCCACTGGTTTGATTTGAACTGCTTGGAGAGCACTGGCATGTTCTGTGCTGCTGTCTGGATGCTTGGTCTGTAGATCTGCTGGTTGCTGCTAGGAGCTACAGCTGTCTGCTGGACATTGCTGCTAGCTGCTGCTATTTCTGGCTTGACTACAGGGGCTGCTGTTGAAGCTGGAACAAATTGTGAGTTTCACAAAAAGGTTTTTACTGACACTGTATTATGAAATGGTATTCAACAGTTTAACAACTTTATAATTATATTTCCTTTTTGTCATCGTAAAAATCATTTTCTTTGTTAGAATTGCAACTGATATAAAATAATTAATGCATGTACATGACTAAGGGGTACTTTTATAACCTAGATCTTCTCTCTCAAATGTTTTATGGATGTAAAAACTATTTGTGATGGATGATGCTATATATCTCCACTAAAGGTTTGAGAAGGTTTTGTCTAATTTCAATGACTTACGCTGTGCCTGTGCAGGGCAGCCAAGCTCAGGTGCTTCATCACTACCGTCCGCACATTGAGGTATGCCATCGCAAGCGTTGTAGATAGCGATGCACTCTCCCGATCCGTGGCATTCAAACTGGTACCTGCTGCAGCGGCTTCCTACAACAAGGTTCTGTGAATATCTTATGGCACTATATATACTTGTTGTATCCTAGCCTAATCCTGCCCTTGGACCCTAGGCTCCAGCCCGGAATCGTTTACACATAACCTCTGGCCAGGCGGGAAGAGCCAAAGCTAAAAGCCTTTTGCGATCTGATCTGCGGGGTTAAAAATTGAACGCAGGACCTTGAGTACCAAAGGCCCGTTCTCTACCACCAGACCAGCTTGCTCCCCATCTCTAAATCACTACTACAAGGTGAGAATGCAAATAAGACTTATTTCAACCAAATATGAAATAATGATAAATAGGATTGTCCGTGTGTATACTTGGGGCTCTAATGGAATTGAAAATGTTCGTTCTCATTTTGTTATTGTTAAGAGCAGAGTTTGTAAAGTGATTTGTTTTTTTAAACAAAATTGAGTTTAGGACCTGATTAGTACTCATATAGACTTACTTCTTTACTGTATACATTTTTCCCGAAAAAAAGTTATAACTTTTAATATATATGAAAAACCTAGGGTAACTTACTCTGTGCAAACTCTGCCACAGTTGGCACAACTGCAGCCACTTCCTTGTTGCCAGGCGCAGTTGTGGTTGGTATTTCTGACAATGTTGAGCTTACCGGTTCCAACTCGGGCTTTCTGCAATCAACAAAATAAAAAAATGCAACCATGCACAAAATCTCATAAAACCACAATATAAAAGCGTGTTGTGTAACTGTTAGCATATCATTTTTAAATATCTAAGAAGGCAAACGTTTTCTGAACTCGAGAGCTTAAAGTTAAATCCGAATGAAGACCAGATAAAACATCTATATGTTGTCTTTTGCTTACTCAAGTTTTCAAAAGCGAGAGATAACTTTTTATAATCTTTTAGGTGTTTGTTAGTTTTTGTAGTGAATCTTGCCACAGCCTTGTATTAGAGAAGGCCATGTCTATAACAATTTACTTCTATATAAAATATTTAAGACAAATGCGAATCGAATTTCACAAAAAATAATAATAATTATTATTATTATTATTTTATATATATTTTTAATGGTTTTTTAATAAGTGTTACATGAGACAGAGTAGGCCTACCTCAATTTAGCCAGTTCGTGCTCGTGTTGGGTATGCTTGATTTGACTCTCCAGTTCAGTAAGATGGCGGTTCATGACGAGGACGGCAGAAGTGTAGTTGTGATGTTTAGTAAACTTGCATTTGAAGTCTTCCGGGGTCCCGCACTGGAACAGGTAGCAACTCCCTGGCGTCTGGAACAAACAGTTGTACATGTGAAACTACACGGTGAACTAAACGTTTGTGTTCAGTGTATCAGTTATGACGTCATTGGTGACTACAGAGTCTCGCTATGGAACAGATAAAAACTTCTATAGTTAAAGAACGAAAAAACATGGTGAACCAATAATGGAGTTGAATTTATCAATGATAATGCTATTTAGTTGGTCTTGAAGAGTCTCACTACGGAACAGATAGCAACTTCGGAAATTAAAGGCAGAAAATACACGGCAAGCCATTTGAGTTAAATTGATCAATAATATCATTCAGTTTGTCTTATTCATTATTGTCTTTCAGTTTGACTATTTTTGGAGTTTTAAGGAAAAATCTTTATTAAAAACAAAAATTTCAAAAAAATGACAAAAACGCCTGAATCTGAATACACATGGGTACCTAAATACCGAACTTCATCAAAATTGGACCACAGGTGTGGTCTGTAGATCTGTCCACGTCCACACATGAGTTATTGCAGACATAACTTCGTAAACCACTTTTTAGGTTCAGGTATTTCCAGTATTTACCCAAAACAGATATTTCCACACAAAACTCAAACTTGAAGATCAAAAACAATACTTTCTCATATACTGTATGAACAGGGAAAGAAAGTAAAATCACTAGGACAAGAGCTTAAATGTGGTTTGGAGCTACCAACATCGATATTGATGGAAATCAGTAAGTTTACTGTTAATTTCAATAACATCTCTTTTGTTGTCGTAGTTCATTGTATCCAACTGAATGAAAATGAAAAGATTTGTTCAACAATTTTGTGTTGGAAGCTCGCCAAAACAGCCACAACAAAGTCTAGACAGTTCTTTGAGCCACTTAACAGTTAGTATTGATTTTACGTCCAGTCAAGAGCTTCGTTTTAAACTATCTTGTTTTAAAATGATAAAACATAGTGAATAAATAATGGAAATACGTTATATTATATTATGTCGCATGATAAGTAATTTTCATAAAATGTAATTTAAAATAAATAACTTATATGAAAGAAACAAAAATAAAAACAATAAAATATACAACAAGTATAAAAGAAACAAATGACAAATATTAAAAAAATTATTCACACAATCAATGAGAAAAAAGTAAAATAATTTATGAATGAAAATAGCCTAATTTTAGCTTTTCAAAAGGTGATAACGACAATAAATAGATACCATATTAGTGATATAGAAGGGGATATAAAAATATATTTTGTTGGCTAATAGTTTATGCTTAACCAAGTTGAAAAATTGTTGGTGACTAATATTAATCCATATTTATATACATGGTGTTTCGAAAATCTCTCCCAAAACTCCGTGGGCATGTTCCTTAGGTCAAACTAAAAATGTCATATAAACATATACCCTATCTCGCTTTGTTTTCCGTCTGTGTGTATGTATTTTTTACATAGCTTCCCATAACTTTGGAACGACTTAAGGTGCGAACTTTAAACTTAGTACATATGATGACTAATAGAAACTAATTCTTCGCAAAGTTTATACTTTGTTTAATTTCAAAATGGTGACAGTTTTAATTTTTTAAAGCTTAGTTACTAAAAAAAAAACCATAGGATATATAAAGAAGCTACAAAGAACAAAAATGGTAGACATTTTTCCCCTTACAGAAATGTACAATTTGTATAGGTTCATAACACAAATAGCCTAACGGAGAAAATTCAATTTTTATTAATGTAATACCTGATTTTTATTGAATTTGCCCAAATCTTTTGGTTTAACTTCAGAAAATTTAATATTTCTCCCTTATTTGTGTTATGGCCCTATACAAATTGTACATTCTGTATAGGGAATTAAATTTCCAGCCTTTTTGTCACTTGTAGCCTTTTATAAATCCTACTATGATTTTTGAGATTAAGTTTTGAAAAGTTAAAATGGTCGCCATTTTGAAACTATACAAATTAGGAACTTGATGCTTTGCAAAAGAATAACACGTAACAAGTTTGAAGTTGGTACCTCAAGTGGTTTCAAAGTAATGGGCAGTTATATCTATCTATCTATCTATATATTAATAGGCAAGCATGTTTCTTTAAAACCTTTTTTCTCAGCTTGTGTGCATCGTGGGGTAAATCTACGCATACCGTTAGAAAGCTATTTTCCTGTAGGTGTGCAGAATCCCTTTATAAATTTAAATAGGCTCAAAGATAAACACAAAAAATGAGTTAAAAAATTTGAAAAAATTAACATGGATCTTATGCGTTGCCATGCTGGTGACGAAATAACAAGGAAATATAAACAGAAAATCAAAACAAATGGAAGAAACTCCAATCACATGTTTTATTTGCAGTGTGGGGTGAAAATAGAGAAGTGAGTAAGTTTACATTACATATTTTTGGTCGAGTTTCGACCACTGGACGACCTCTCGTACTTATTTAATACGCAAGCAGGTTTTTTGTGACAATTACTCTTTCGAAACTACTGAACCGATTGACATGTTTTTGGTGCCATTGGAAAGAGCGTAACGTGAAGTTGTGCAGGAAACCTTCTTTTTAGATAAATAATTAGAGAGTGAGGCCCTGGGGCCCTTTAAAGTTTCGTATTTCTCCATAAGATTAACATTGGAAAAAAATGAAACTCCAGCTGTTGTCAGCAATTAAAAGTGAGAAGAAAAACATATGTTAATTGTAAACCGTCAATAAAGTTGCTAACTAAACAGATTGCTACAAACATTTACTGACGTGGTAGAAATTAAATATACAGTATACTAATTGTAATATATAATATATAATTACTAGCTGTTGTACCCGTACTTTGCAACGGGAAGAGGACACAAAATAGAAACATTTTAATCTTTACATCTGTTGCATATAATAGTTACACATCCACCAACGCTTTTAGAAACAAAATTCAACTTTTGTGGCCGTTAGAAATAGAAACGTTTAAATTATGACTTTTAAATGTGGTAAGTAATGGATACCACCATTTCATCTCCCTTAATTACATATCATTTTATTTATTACTGTATTGACATTTTAAATTTCAATTTTGAAGTTACTACTAATTATTAAATTTAAATTACATCTTTTTTATTTCACTCTTTTAGCGAATTTCCCATATAGGGAATAAGCTATTTTATATTAAATCACAAATCCTTCCATCTTCAGTTTCTTCACTCACAATAAATCATTAGCAAAACTAAGTCAGCTGTTGTAAACTTTAGAAATATTGCTGTGCCTTATCAATACAGTCTTTTCAAATATTAAAGAAACTATATATATAGGTACTATAAAAATTTTCAAACAAATAATTTAGCATTAAAGACAGCAGACAAAACTAATATGATTATCAAAGCAGGACTAAAAAATGTAACGGCAAATACAGTATATGTTTCATTGCATCTCTGATTCTACTCTACAAAAATGTCAACAAACTACTTAATATACAAACCAGTTCTTTTAATCAGTTCCATCGTCCATTGCCTTTACATTTCTACACTTACCATTAAGTAAACCTAGTAACAGATATTTCATTGCTTTTAGAAACAAAAGAACGCTGTATACTGCTTAGTTTTATGATATTTTCCTTGGTTTAATTTAATCAGTGGTGTGGCAAAACACAAATAATAAATTTATCAAATAAAGTAAATGTGAACTGAAAGCTATGTTAAAATAAAATAAGAGTATTTTGTATTACCATTTGATAATTAATTATAGTTACACATATACAACAGATAAAAAAAAAAATAAAATCAACGACGTACAATTTAGTTATTGATTTAGTTGATTGATTTCTTTAGTTTAATTTAAGCATAGGTTTAGTAAAACACAATAACTTAATTTGCCTAAATATATATATATAAAAAAACTATGTGATGTGCAAGTTATGTTAAGTTAATCTAACACATGTTAAGCAGTTAGAATTTATTTAAAGTAGCCTCCAAATTCAAATAAAACATCTATACATTGTAATTTTCATACTGTTTCCATGAAATCATATCATAACATTATTTTCATAACTTAGACGCTTTAAAAGAATCCAAAGCAGAGCCGGAGTTGATACCGGGAGTTGATACAGCAATGGTTATAGAATTTTTTTATACAATCATTGACATAGTTTTAGAATAAATAATCCATGATAAAAGGTTAGATTAAAATAAACCTACCTCATAGTTATGGAAAATATTATATTTAATTTCTTGGTATCAGCTGTCTGAAATTGTGAAATATGCAGTTTAGCAGTTCTTCTTGTTTACATTTAAATGTCAAAGCAAATGTAAACAAACATTGTTAGTGTTCTCATCTCAGCCATGGATACCAATCAATATTTACTTTTAAAATCTTCACCTCAGAACTTTTAAAGCCAAAGGGGCAAAGCCTATGGTCAGTATCGAAATGTGAATAGTCCTATAATGGTCCTTGGTATGGTAACTATATTTTAGCCCAGTTGGTTCAGTAGTGTTTGCACCTATTAGTAACACACATACAGACAGACACCATTAGATTTTTATATAATAGTATAGATATTAAAGAAGAACATAACATATGTTAATTGTAAACAGTAAATAAGTGCTAATTTAATAGTTTGCTGCAAACATTTACTGACTTGGTTGAAATAACATATTTACAATTTGAATTTGGGTTGGCGTAAATGTTACAATATAAAAAGTGAGAGAGCCTGGATATTGATATAATCTATTATGTACATATTGAGTATTTCTATAATCTTTGAATCGAATCTTTTAAAGTCATCAGAAATAATGACTGTTATTCGTTTTAAAATAGCGCCTGTAATACTTAGCAATTGCTCGAATTCGAGCAACAGGGACAGTAGTAAAGAATAAATACATACATACCGACAGACGGAAAACGAAGCGAGATAGGGCATATGTTTGTACCGTATATTTGTTGTTGTTTTTACCTAAGGGACATGCCCATGGAGTTTCGAGAGAGTTTTGAAACACCCTGTATATTTAATATATAAGAAGAGAGTATATTTTGGTATGTCCAGCTCCCACTAATGGTAGTAGTAGTAGATCGCTATTGTTCACTCCAACGTAAGACTATTTCCGTTTAGATATTTAGGCATTGCATCTTAATTAATAGCCTACTAGAATAGAAATACATTATAAAATATATTTAGGTTATATAATAAAACAAGCTTTAAAATATTTTAACACACGCAGAAAAGTTGTACAATCAATTCAAAAGTATCAATTTGAAAATAATAATTGAGAAAATAAATCACATTGCGCGGTACATTCCAGATTTATACATTTTTTGTAGTTGCAAGTTTGATCCAATATATTTCCATCCTGAATAGCCAACTTGCTGGTAACTTTTACTTTACATAATTGTCTCACAGAAACCGAGTGGAAATTAATCGTTTATTAATCAACCATAAACCCAATACAATATGCACTACAGTACTAACGGATTTATCCATTGTCGAGTGAAAATGAGCGGAAGGTCTGTTTATTTATTGGACTTGATGTTTAACCATGAGACTCATAACGTCTGTAGTTGGTTCGGCTGAATCTATCGACCAAACAAACCCAATGAACAACCCGCTCGTTGATACTCGTAGTTACAATCGCTGAAATTATCCTTCATTAAAACAACCCCTTATTTATTAGTTGAATCTTCGGTCTGGTAAAAAAAAAAATACTTTTTTAATGAAGTAAAAAAAATTGGTCGAGCCCTCGATGGTATAATGTAATTTGTTCTTGATGCTGTCAATTTTAATATTGGAGACGTAGATTAAATGGACATTTTGATTGGTAGTTTGTAAAAAAATTTTATACAAGTAGCAGGGGAAAAAATTTAATTTCAGTTAATCGAAATGAATGAGTAAATTTGGAACCATTTTAGAAATAGTCAATGATATTTTCCGTGCAAAGTGGTGAAATTTTTATAATAGTCACGAGATTTCTATATTTTGTCATAAACTTCACTGTTCTTTTAAACTATTAATATTTTCGCAGATCATAGAAAATATGCTCATTTCCTATAACATAAATCTAAATTATAAATTTAGATTACAATTACAAATTACAAATAAATTACAAATTCGAATACTTGTTCGCAGCTACTTTTGTTTTAAACCACATTTATTTTCATAGTGACAGATGTCGTCTTATATAAATTTAAAACCCATTATGACACCAATTTTGTAAGTGTACAAAATTTCAATTTTGATTTGCACGTGCAAAAACTATCAATTTTTTACAATCTGTGTATAAACTGTAAAATCATTGTTATAACTGCAAGTGCTAAAAAATAAGACAAAAAAAGAACATAAATTGAACGATCATACATTGAATCGTGGTTTGGTGGAGGGATTACCTATTATTTACTTCACGCAAATATCGCAGAACTCAACCAAACATTCACCTCTGAAATCTACCAATAATACAACAATACAAAAATTTATAAGTGTCTGACTCATAATTTTTTACATGTTTTCATATCTTTTACCAACTCCCCTACTCTTAAACGTTGAAAACTCCTAAATGAGGTAACATTTATCTTAACCACAAATTATTAATTTTTTCATCATGCAATTCTTTCTTCACTTCCGAAAAAAAACTATTCACCTATTTCCCCCACAATGTATACAAATTATACGATCATATCCTGGACTATACCAAACAATTCATTCAAATGTCGACATCCCTAGTCGGTTTGATGTCTCATGAACCCCGTAGGCCACAAGATACGTTCCATCATACACACTTTAGTTTTTCCTCTACATTCCATACTTTCCAATCCACCAGTTATACCAGAAAATTACCCTATTCGTCCAAATATTTAACTATCTTTGAATTTTTATGAACTCTATGATTAAAACACCTCTGAACCTTATGAAAATCCAACTATCACTTTTCTTCCTGACATCTATAATTTAAATAACTTCTTGATCGTATTGTCCGTGTTAACAAATTTACTGAACATGCCAAAATACGTCTAATAACACTTAAAACATATATTTACAATTGAACTGTTGACAAGACGGTAAATACGTTGCAAGTGTAGACGTATATATATGTATTTTCGGTATCTATAGTCTGTATGATGGAAGCTGTCTGCTGACCCTGTCTACCTAGGACTGTCCCGGGTTCCCAGGTAGACGGAGCGTCAGGAGACAGGTTCCATCATAAAGACTATAGCAATACATATCATGGTCGACCCCCTTGCTGTGCTCCACTACAAGTTACCTACCTTCTCTTCAAACACGAACACGTCACAGTCCTGGGTCTCGCAGCACAGCCTCAAACAGTCCTCCCTGGTAGGGACGTCCCTCTCGTTGATGTACTTCGCCCCCATCGCCCGGGAGTCCTGGGTCCGGATGATCTTGTCCTGGTGGATGTCGAAGGAGTCGAGGCACGTCGGGAGGTCGAGACGACGTTCTTCCTGGGAGGCTACGCCCCCCGGGCCCCCTAGGAGCCCGAGGACACACAGTAACACGGGGAGATGCATGGTGATGTTCAGGCAGGAGGCCATAGCAGACAGGGTTGTCGGGAAGGATTTCCCGGCGGGGAGAAATTTCCCTGGCTGGGGAGGAATTCCCCGAGATTGTAAGGGTTCTTGTTTAGTGTGAAAATGTGATTGTCGAAAATATTAAGAGATGCGATTTGTTATTAGACTTTAGAATTGCTAAGTTGAGAGCCTTTTAGTAGAGATACCCCAGGAGACAAAATTTACAGCAAATACGTTTCCAAAAAAAAATTTAAGACATTCAATTAGATTATTGTTAGTTAATTAATTTACTTTATTTTTTTAGAATGATTTGAATACCAAAATAGAAAAGTATAAGGGTGCATTTATAATTTATCAACTAGTTTTTGCAAGTTTATATTTTATTTAGTTACTTCACGTACTATGTTGTATCGAAAATACCGTTAAACGCCACAACAGTACTAAATAAATTATAATTTTGTATATGTTCTCTCTGATTATAGAAAAATTACTATGGTAAATGTTGTAATACATTTAGGATTAAATTATTGCTTAAGGGTAAAGCAAAAATAATGGGAGGTCCATTCGACAGTATTTTACAATAAAGTAGGTTTATAAACATAGGTTGCTTTTAAAATTTTCAATTGAAAACAAATACCTATTTTAAATAATTAAACATTTATGTGTTTAATATTTACGTTAACGTATAATATTGAGTAATAAACTTAAAAAAATACAAGATAAATTTAAATAAAATATACAATCAAAGTTTGACCTGAGTGTCTTTTAAACAAGTCAGCCACAGTGAAAACTTTCAGGGTTTTAATGTAATTAGCTAAGTTTCAAGTTTTAACCGAACATTAAAAACTTAACTATAAGTTGATGTACAATCAAGTTGGTAGTCGCCAGTGAAATGTCATTGAACAACATTATCGACATTCTAATATTTTAAAAACATTGTTGGCGACTCATAAATAAATTACACGATTTATTGCAACACTCTCTTTTAATTTATCGTTTGATTATCTACAAATAAAAATTCTATTCTACAATGTAATGTTTATGGAACAATCTCAATTATTTATTAATACAAATTCTAGTGATATTATGGAACTGACGAATAAAATGTCACAACATCCCTTACTTAAAGTCAATTAAAAAATAATAATAATAAAAACAAATAGCGGATTTGTATTTAAAACAAGTGAATTGTCAAAAATAATAAAAAATAAATTGGACAAAATTTACTGATTGAAAATTTTTGTAAAAGACCAATCGTGCAATTTCATTCTATGTTTATTTTATCTTCTCAACTTATATTAGATACATGTTTAATGGAATAAAAAATGCACTGAATAAATGTAGGACATATTAAAATATTAAAACAAATTTTGAAATGTTTATTGATTAAAATCCCAAATTTACAGTTATTGCAGTATTTTTTCCCATTAAAAAATATTCATATAATACGAAGTAATAATAGAACTAATAGAAAAAATGTTTAAAATAATGTTAAATAGCTGTTCAGTTATTTACATTTGTTATACAGTAGTTCCAAATAATTTTGTTGCACATCTTATGTACTAATTGTAATATCTCCCTTAAATCAAGGTATGGTTTGTTGAAAAAACGTTATTTAAACTTTTATTTCTTCATGCAATGGGTATCAAATAGATCAAACTTTTTGATTTGTTTGAAAAAACACGTATAGACTACATTTAATTGGACTTAACAGTTGAAATATAATAATCTATGTATGTAATGTATTACAATTTCCCCGACTGGAGGGGAATTTTCCCCCGCGTTGGTAGCACTGGGTAGAAGCAGGCTAGCTAGTGGTAGATCAATAAAGTATTAGCGCTGTCGTGGCATTGTATGGAACTAATCCATCATATGTTTCTAGAGTAACTAGTAACTCGTAACGTGTGTATTGGAGTGTTACTTGACAACCTAAATCGATTGATAGTAAAATGCAAGAATACGTTTTCTAGGTTGGCACTACTTAAAAAATTGGATATGTATGGGATACAAAGGTTAAGAGAAAAGAAAGATTTTACAATATGATAAAATAACATTATGTAATGGTTTGTTCATTAAAGGTGGTCAGTAACTTGGTCCGTACTAGTTCCGATCACCCAACATTACAAGTTAATAATTCCCCATCTTTATATATATATATATATATATATATATATATATATATATATATTCTTGAAAATTGTTGAACGTTGTTAAAGATAAAAAAAAAAAAAAATAAAAAACACGTAATTTTTACAAGCATTGCCTAAGAAGTATGTACACAATAAATTGTTTTAATGTGGTTTTTGGGGCCTTTATGGACATTTTTTACATAATGTTAACACAAAGAAATGCCTCAATTTAACTCTCTTACAGAAATTTGATATCTTTAGCATTTAAATCTCGAACTCTAGACATTCTCTTTTACAATCTCATTACCGGAACAAAGTAAACAACGAATGACTCGTTCTACATTAGATTCTATCAATCTTCTTAAACAAAATGAATGTTTTTCTTGGACTATAAACATAGTAAATGAGTTTCCAATCATTGTCGAGTACTGCTACCTCTCGGGGAAAGCTGCAACTACTCTGACGTGTCCGGGGTTGTGGCAGAACATTGTTATTGTATGGACGTCAAGTAAGGTAACTTTATTGCGTCATAGGGTACTGTACTACTCCTGAATATAAAAATGTAATAAAGTAAAAATGACGAAAAAATAGTTGGTTCTTAGATTTTGGCTTCAAGATTTGTCAAAAGATTTGTTCAAGAATTTTTAGGCTTGATTTGTTGTCCAAATTTGTCAGAATGAGTGATATTAGTCGAAAATATTTTACAGGTAGGAATAAATTTAGTTTTAGGTTCAGAAGAGGTAATTTAAAATTACAGGGGTTTTGGATGACTGTTTATTTGAATGTTATTATTACATAACTGATGGGCTTGACTCAGTTGAAAAAAAGAGTAAGAATCAATGTTAAAAGAGACATGCAATTGGGGAGGGAAAAGTAGTTATTTATGAAATATTAATAGAATTGGATGGAAGAAAGAAATTCACAAAATTTGGTCAAAAATATAACGGTTTTCCATTCTCCATAAGAATAGAACGTCAATAGTGTACACCTTGAGACTCTAAATAAATGTTTTCCTTAATTAAACAGCCGGCTCCATGTGTTATTGTTATGGATAAGATGTTTATGTATTCAAAGGTGATGATAAAACCTACGCCAGTTAAATAATCCTTCCTGGTTGTCATATAAACATTGTGTGAAAGCGATTGTATGTAGATAATGTGAAAGTGTATTAGAGGTAACTCATGGTTTCTAACAATTAGACCAGTTTTGCATTCATTTATATAATACATAATGAGTTGATCATGATGCAATCCGTTGGTAGTCTACAATAAGGTGGTATTAGGCTAAGCTGGCCCAGAAATTGAGAGATATACAGGGTATTCAAATAAAGGTAGGGATATCATTTACGTAGCGATTCCTTGGGTAAAAATAAGCAAAATGTGTACATAAACATTATTTCGTATCTCGTTTCGTTTAGGGTCTATCCGCCTATGTGTGTTTTTTTATGTTTATAACTTCTTAAAGGTTTGAGCTACGGCGTTGAGATTCTGTAAAACGGTTTATTTTATTATCCTCTATTCTTAGGCAAAATTTCACAAAAACTGTACATTTTACAAAAATTGCCAGATGACCAAACTTAAGTAAATTTAGCAAATTTTTACGACATGGTACTAAGCTTAATTTGAACAAAGAATAACTGAAAAATTAATATTTTTCTTGCTATATCAACAGATTGTCTCTATAGTTTTAACAATTTTTAAAATGGAGAAAACTGTAGGTATAGCAAGAGAGAAAGAAATGTCCCCACCTTTTTTGAACATTCTGTATAATTTGAAAATATTATGTCAGAGCGTGTGCTCAATACTCATGATATAATTTCAATCTTTTGTGAATATGTATATTCTCTATAATGTAGGGTTCATCAGGCTAAGGAGGAAATAAGAGTTTAACATACAATTAGACATAAATGAAAGTGAAAAGTGAAACGACAATGATCGCAAGTGGAACGAATTATAGACCAAACTGATTATCAAATTTACTACTTTCTACATAATATACTTCCTGCTTGACAATCCTTAGGTTTTACAGAACTTGAGTAGGCTACCTGTGTATGTGATGTTTTGACTGTCCCCCCCCCTCTCCACATAAGCTTATGCTTTTGATTGTACTATACTTTGTGTACTCTTTGGTAGTCTTCTCATCCATTGTGATGATAAGCAAGCGAAATTTCACAAAGAAATTTTTGGTTAGAGGTTGAACAAAAACAACAATTAGTATTAGTTGAAATAGTGTAGTTGACATAAGATATTATTTTAAACTATTGGATAAAAATTTACATTTGATATATTTTTGCATTGAAATATTCTTAGGATACTGTACAAGTAAATCTGTATCTATTCCAACCAATGTAATATGATACAAAAAATATATCTTAAGTTTTTTACTGTCCCACTTTAACATCCTAGGGCATAGGCTCTAACTCAGAAATCTTCATTTTACTTCAGACTACTCCTTGAGGATTGCGGCATTATCAATGTGATAATAGCCATTGGTGACTGGCGGGATTTGAACCCGGGACCTCTGGGACAGTATCCCTTTTAGTCGCTTCAAAATAACGTGTGGTAAACCGTTTTTAAAACCACAAAACACCTATATTAATTCAGGCCTTAATTTAAAAACACGAAACATAATAAACTTTTTAACAAAAAACAATAGGTAATGTCTCGAATAAAAACTAAACAAAATTAAAATTTCTTGCGGTTCCAAGGTCACATTATACTAGATTACTTCGACACCTGTAATATTGTAATTAGAACCTGGAAGTGAAAGTAATGTTGGAATTTAATGTTTGTCTTTCAAAACAATTACTCAATCAGAGGTGTTGACAAAACTGTGGCAACGACGAAATAATGGCTCTTCAAGTGGGTGGAAATCAACACAAATGTGACAAAAGGTTTTCGTTAATGGGCAAATATGAACCACAATAATAAGCGCTTTAGGTGCACTCAAGACGAAATGTTATGTAAACAGGTGTTTATACAGTTGAGTGGACTTTAAAAACAAAATTAGATTTTCTTAATGAGTGTTTTGGGGACAGTTTCTTTGTGTTCATTTTAAACAAATATTTTTGAACTAGAAAGTAAGCTTTAATGGTGAAAGTACACTGTTAAATCTAAGTTTTTGATAGAAGATCGCACTGTTTGTCGAAAATACTGTCCTTCGTTTTGGATTCGTTGCACCAAACAATCTCCGGGACAAATGGGTCAACTAAAACTTAAACCAACAGCTACTTTTAATTTACTATGTATAATGTCCATGTTTTGCTTTACTTTCGGGCATAGCATGTAATATAACATACCACTTTAAAATCTACGAAAGTCAAAAAAATATAGAAATATGTGTCATAACTCTTTTAAAATTTATTTAAACTCACACTTCCACTCACAACTAGGTAAATAAATATACACGTTGGTAGTTATGATCGATTTCGATTATCATCATCAAACCATCTAGGCAAATGATTATCAGACTTTATACTTATACTTTATGTAAATACTTTCCGTAACAATAATAATGGTTTAATTTACCTCTGTCAATATGGTCCTTGCGTGTAGTTTGTCACTACTGCAGTTTCGTATCTTCAGGTGAAGGTAAAAAAAGTTAAAACATTTTCCTCACGTGAAGGTCGTCAATTTTTGAAAACACACCAAAAAACACATAGCACACGAACGGTACGAAAAACACATTTATAAACTTGGCCAATACATTAAAAACGTTACACACGGGGTCCGGCGCCGGTAGAAGACAAGTCATGACTGACTTATAAAACTTCTGTGTTATGTGTTTTCGGTGTGTTTTAAACAATTGACGACCTTCATGTGAGGAAAATGTTTTAACTTTTTTGACCTTCACCTGAAGATGTGCTCAACGAGCAGTGACAAACTACACGCAAGGACCATATTGACAGAGGTAAATTAAACCATTATTATTGTTGCTGTATGGTCCAGAGGCTACCCATCATGACTTTCCGTAAATTCTGATCAATAAGATATTGTGTAAAATCTAAAAAAGCTGTTAATGTATGTTTCATAACTGGTTGTGTTTTTGTTGTTTTTAATGTGCTGATGTCTATTAACATTTTTCCTCTTAGGGTTAATTGTATGTAGGGAGTAATTTTGCAATTGAATCAGCTAAGCAAAAGCCAATAAATATCTTTATTTGGTGTAAATTGTCTTTAAGATGGTGAAGTGAAAATAAACAAAAGTCAAAGCGTGTTCTTAAAACATTGGATAAAAAAGTACATTAAAATGGTTTTCAGTTTATCAACAATTAAGAATCTAAAAAGGAATATGGTTAATTTATGGTATTAAATGACTATAAAGGATTCTGAGGATATAAATTTTGACGGTTAACAGGGTCACTAACTATACAGTAAAGTTCAAATCGTGTAGTATAGTCTGTATGATGGAACCTGTCTCCTGACTTCTCGTCTAGACATGTTCCATTATACACTTAATAAGAAACAATTGTTTCCTATCCATAATCTGCCGATTGCACCATTTCCCGGCAATAACGATGTTGTTGTTCTAAGGACTGGTAATGGATACTCTGGTTATTTCCGTACTCAAAGATATACACCCAAGGTTTATGATAATCTTTCTGAATCCATTTCCAATTTATAACACACTAGCTGATGTGCTCGTACTTTGCAACTGGGAAATAATACAGCTTAGAAGAAAGTAGTCTCCTTAATGTCATAAAACACTTAGTTATATAAATAGTTGGCTCTCAAAAATCAAATTAAATCTTGGATGATGTAATAAACAAACAAAGGAATCTTAATCAAAAAGATTTGCAGCTAACCTTAGATTAGAAGTTTAAATAGCTTACCACATATTATAAAGGTTTTTAGTGATTTAATTTTATCTACTTATCCTTTCTTCTATCATTGACTTTGGTTACTAAACTTGGCATCCTATTGTAAAAACGAATATTTTTTATCTGTTTTTCATGCATGACTAGTGTACTGGTGTTGGTCAAATATTAACTTTTTTAAAACAAAAGCTCTATTTCGTAATAACTTATTTATCTCGATAAATGTAGTGGTTGTGTTTTGTTATACCGCTGCTTGAATCAAACCAAAGAGGATAAAACTAAGTTGTACAGATTACATTTGTTTCTGCATCAATGGTATATGTTTAACTATGTTTCCTTAGTGTAAGTATGTAAATGTAAATGCTATGAACTATGAAAGGAGTTAAGTGATCGGTTTTGTATGTATAGTTTGTAGATGTATTTATTTTGATGATGACATTGTGTATTAATTAACAATAATAGGGGATGGCTTCATTAACAAAAGGCAGTGAAATGTTTGGGCTATTTTATTTTCCCTATTAATAGGCAAGCATGTTTCTTTAAACCATTTTTTCTGCTATAATAATATAAGGATACCATTGAAACCTTAAAATCCTCTTAGGTTTCTTTTTGAAATAGTTGACGTGACTTAAATTGTATAGCTTACAATTTAAACTAGTTTGACTTAAAAAGCAGCGCGTTTTCATAAAAAAAAACTGTACAGTAAATTACATCATGGTAATCTGTTTGAAGCTCAATGAAACTATGTCTGTCTAAAAATTGTCTACAACTAAAAACAGGGATACGGTATCTCAAGTTGTATCAATAGTAAAAATGTTTATATATTAGCCTTTTTTGTCCTAGGACGCTAGGCACGAGCCTGGGATTGTTTTTCACATTACTTCAGGCTAGATCTAGGGGTTGCGGCATTATCACTTAGATAAAATCCATTGGTGACTTGGCGGGAATCGAACCCGGGACATGAGGGGGACTGAAGTACCGCGCTCTAACCACTACGCCAGCTCTCTCCCCATATATTAGCCTTTAAAGAAGATGACCTTTTGACCCCTAATCATCCATCCAAAAACAACCGTTTAATTATTTTCCAAACCCGTTTGACTCTTCCTCCTCGACCTTCAGAAGCCTTCCTGTTCGGAACCGGGTCGTCAGGTTCCGGTGCTTCCGGTCGGTTCCTCTAGTCCCTTGACCATGGCACAATACAGGGTGTTACGTCAGCTGGGGAGAGGGAGAGAGTGTGGCAGAGTGCAGTCAGTGAGTGCGCGCCGCTAGGAGCGTTGGTGACTAGTGTTGGATTTGTGTTACACATTCAATTGGGCTAAGGTAATGTTAAAACATGTATAGAATAAATAGATTTATTTGTGGATTGTTTAAGAAAAAATGTACATTTATAAATTTGGATCTGAAGGAGTTGAGTTTGCAAAAGAGACACATTTTTAGATTTAAAACATGTAAAAATATCATTTTAGAAAAAAAGAACACCAAAAAAGCTTTTATGTAGGGCTAAAAATAAACAATTTTGTACGTATATTGAGGCATTGATTCTCGGTTAAAGGTTATAGAGAATGTTTGAAAAAAAAAACTCAACATTTTCTACTCAATTTTATTCGTATGAAGAAAAATATAACTGTTGTAATTTGCTTGTGTATCAATATTTAAACAATGTTGGTAAATAATTTATTTAATTCATTTTACCATACTATTAACATTTGATCGAAAAATTACGTTTCCCCTTATAGCAGCAAACCTAAGTACTCGTTAAATTTCACGTTATTTAAACAGGGAATAAATATGACTTATTCATGGAAATATTTTGGTAGAAATCAGACAAATTATAATTCACTTAGTCTGCACGTTTGCTGCTGCGAGTGGTATTTTTTACAAGGGTACGGATTAAATGTAGCCTTGTTATCATAAATTGTTGTCGATCTTTTGTATGTAGCATAATTAATTGATAGTTCAAGAATGTCAACTCGGTTTAGAAACTTATCCTTTTTGGAATCAAATCAGCTATTTTGAAATTTAAATGGCGTGCACTAATCACCCGTCTACCTCTACCTAACCTATGGTAGGTTCACTTTTATAAAAATATGAATATTCTGCCTACAAGCAACAATAACTTCCAAAAAAAAGTAAAAAAAAGAAAATCCAAAGTTACAAAATGCAAATTAATATTTGAACGGTTAAAATATATCAATGAGTGTATTACACAGTATATTATGACTGCCGATGTTAACAAATTATTTTTATTGCACAGTCGTTTTGAGTTATTACATATAATACCCATTTAGCTCGCATTATACTAATACAAAAAATACATTTTTATACATAACACAAATTCATCATCATTGTCAATTCTTAGGGACACACAAAGATAATTGCTTAGCAAACTTATTTACAAATTCAAATGCTACCTTATTAGGAAGACAAGTACCAATCAAAATTCTGCCTGTAATTTTACCTTTCTACATATTCAATAGACGTAGGTTAGGCACATAATGCTGACGTCACTACTTTGGTTGTGAATATACATTGTAGTCTTAGCCTTAAATATAACCGGGGTGTCAATGTACTTTGAGGGGATGTCACAATCAGTTCCATGGAACTATTAGGTAATATATACTATAAAATAGCATTTACGTATTTATAAATGGTTTTTAAATGACATAAACTGTCTATGAATAATGCTACCGACTTCATTGAGGCATTATGCGTAAACATGATTTCATTTCTCCTCTAGAAGTGTCATTCTGTCATAATATAATTGTTTCTTAATTCATTTATTTGTTTTAATGCGCAAGAAGGTCGTGGTTACTAGTGTCATGTTCTGTAGAGATTATAGTCTGTATGATGGAACCTGTCTCGTGACCCATCGCGAGGCATCTCCTAAGGCAACATTTATTATTTATTGATAGTGCTGTTAGTAAATTTATTTCTTTTAATAAACTTATCTGTTCAAAAGTTGTTTGTATGACGTTTAAAAACAATTCTCTTACAACCTAGCATTGGGTTCAAAATGGGAAGTTTTTCAGTGTAAATATTTTAAAGCATCATTTAATGATAAAATGGAAAAATATTTCTTTTTGTAATATTTTTACAAACTACTGTATGATTATTCTGATATTTGTGTCTTTTTACTTAAGTACTAAAATGTACCATAAAATGTGAAATATGAATGTGCAAGTGGGTGATGTGTTGTAAAATGTGTGGTAGAATGTTACTACGTTCTTTTTAGTATGTGTTTAGTTACTGTACTATATTAAGTCACAAGATACACAACAATGAAGAAGAAATTCTGAATAGCTGTTTGACCTCTTCAGTTTTCTTCAGTCGGGCTTACCAAACTGTATTCTGACAGAAGTGACGTGAACGCCATATAAAGACCGGCGACTCTTTCGACATAAAAGAGCGAAGGAATGCCTACAAAAACAGACGCTTTCGAAACTTCGGCTATTATGGTTCAAACCGTGGACTTCTTGTTCTTACTTAATCTAAATTTAACGATTTAGTTCTATAAGCTTCCTATTGCATGTTTAAAGGTAGAAGTTTTGAAGTATGCCATAAGGAACTAGGTATGAGAGGATGGAATAGTTAAAATGGTAGCTGAGAAGTTAAAGTGCTCGCAAAACAATCAAAAGGTCACCGGTTCGTTCCTGAGAAAAGTCAGTAGCTTTTTGATGTTTCGGAAATTAAAACAGTTGTCCCTGATCATTGGACTACTGGCACAACATTCTACACTCATATTTGGATCGAAATACGAACCTAATTACGTCCCCGTCTCAAGTAATTGATAGTTGATCAAATAAAACTTTTGAAACTGAATATGAAAGTAGGTCTAATCAAAATTATTGTAGTTCTTATTTATTAACAACCGAAAAGCCATTCAACATCATAGTAGCTACCAAAACGCTTACTACTTTTAAGTATTACCATTGACGATTAGATAAGGTATTACTGTAAACTCGCTTAAAATATTCCCACAATTATAGGTTTGAACTAAAAAAGGGAAAATATCGCTTTCTTTTTCCATAACATGTGTTGTAAATCCTTTTAGGTTTGAATTGAACGCGTTAAAAGAAATTATGTTATTGGGGATCAAGAATGGAGAGTAGATGATTGTTTTACTGAGGATATTTCATAGAACGTTACTTAAAAATGTAGATCCGTTCGTACTAAAAATATAAATTTTAAATCTAAAAATGCTACAGAATAATTTGTTCTCGCAAAGTTTTTGTTTGTCCATGTATGTCTCATATAAGTGTGTAATTGCATTGGGCTCATGCCAATATAAGTTTTATGGCAATAAAGAATGATTTTATTTGAAAACAACGTGACTTGGTAAACCATACATGCGATACTTTTCAGATTTAAACTGTTATTTCTTAGTCACTCAGAATATATCAGCTGATTAGGAGGTTATTTATAGCTTGTGATCCAAAGCTGTTCACCAGGAGTTTCACTTCAACAGGTTTCATTTCGTAACTTCCCCCTCCATAATTTTGGGACTCCTTGCTAGATGTGGAACTTCCAGTGATTCCCTCTATGACATCATAATTCTAGGTCACTGCACCGAGTATAGGATATGCAAAATTATTTAATTAAACTATCTTTTCTTCTGGGAAAAAGCTATTTTATCTATAGCTTGTCACTTCGTAAGCACTGTATTTTTTCCACTTTAACTTTGTCCTTTCTGGGTGCAAAACACTGTGTTAGTCAAAATGATTAATTTTTGTATGTGTTGGTTATTACATGTTGGTATCCCTGCTTGATTTTCTTTATTGCCGAACAGCTGATATGCATTGTTGCAAAGTTATCTATGAGGTGTAACTGGGAATTTATAGTAAAAAAACCCAACATGGTGTTTTTGAAAGCTCAAAGATTATGTTTATAGAAGAATACTTTAAAAGAAAATCTTTAATTTTATGCCATGAAATTAAGTCTCCAGGAGCCTGTTTCATAATAAACTACAAACTAATATTATTAGTAATTCAGCTGATTGCCCAAAGCAAATCTAATGGAAATTATAAATTACAAGTGACAGCTTGTAAATTGTAGTTTATTATGAAACGGGCCCCAGGTGTGATTCCAGTACCTAATAGGCCTAAATCCCTAAATCAACTTATTTATTGTCTTCTCAAATATTTAAGGAAACCGGATCTGTAGAAAACAAACACCCCAGATCTTCATTACTCTTAATTGACCTTGCGTAAACACCAGTCCTAGTCTTATTTACGGTAAATTCCCAATAACACTAAACATCTTAGATAACTATGCAACAATGCATATCAGCTGATCGGCAATGAAGTAAAGAGACAGGGATACCAACATAATCTTGTTTTGTCATTACAGTGGCTCACAGTAGTAATTGTTGTGTTAGTTAAAAAATCCTGTATCTGTTATTTGATTTGAGTACTTCTAGACAGGAGGTATTACATCAGCAATGGGTGATTATGATTATACATGTAGCAACAACGGGAAGTATCCTTATCTTTCACGGACGCTGCTCTCTCTTATAGATACTCATCAAATGTCTGTCATCCTATAGAAGATACACTTTCTGATCTAATGCTATAGCAGTAGACTACATTATTGCCATAATCGTCCCTATCATAGTTTTTCATCTTTAAATAATCGAAGGTCGTATGAGTGTATCAGGCATTTTGCTTCTGGGTTGGTTTGTACAGAGAGTGATGTTTTTTTTTACTTCCTTAGATGATTTGTACTGTTCTTCTTAACTTGCACAGCTTTCTGGTGTGAATATATGTCCAAGATGTCACAAATAAAACCACAAGTTCGTATGGCGCGTCAAAAGTTTGATTATTAATTTAATATTGGAAAAGGAATGAGTAAGCATAAAAAATACAGCCACAAACAACTTTACGCACTAATTCACCTACCAAATAATAGTTATTTACAATATGTGAAAAAGTTATTGGAATTTTATATTTTTTGCAAATCTTCCAAGTGTTGTCCTTTTGCTTCCAATTCCAAAAAAAATACTTGAACAATGTTCTTATTACAGTATAACTACGATAATAATATGAACTCTATTTTCTATAACTGTCTAACCTCCAACTGCACACTAGGTCATTGGTTCGTTTCCGGCAGTCTTACCTAATTGTTCACTGGAACTAACCTCTGGCTTTCCCATATGACTAAGATAGTAACGGTGTCTCAAAGAATCTGGATTACCACACGGTTAGTCATGACAAGGTCAAGGACCAGCTGGGAAGGTTGTTGAAATGATTTTTGATTGAAATTATATGATTTTTCAGGCCAAGAAATGGACTACTATAACACTAACGAATCAAAATTTTGAAAGCAGTTACAAATCGTTACTTTAATTCATGATTAAAATTTCTATACGCAAGAATAGACAAAATATATGATTGTTAAAAAATTATGACACTGTCAGAACCTAGACAATCTTGTAAATCACTATTTTAAAAATATTCCCACCACCATCGGTTTATATCCAGCAGATCTTATAATCAATTTAAAAACTGCCTGACAAAACTGCTTGAAATTGTGTATTTTGTGATTGTATAGCATATAATATTTATAACAATCAATAAATCATCGGTTCGATCCTTGAGAAAAGCCAGGACCTTTTTGATGGTTCGAAACTGAACCCAGCTGTTGCTGATCATTGGACTTGAAATAAATGATCCTGACTAGTGACTAATGAAACAGCTGATCTTAGTCAGCATCAAAGCTACACAAGGCATCTCACTCTATTCTACACTCATCCTTCACTTATATATTTTTTTAAATAATCACCTTGGTGGCGTCTCCATCTCAATGACTGATAACTGATTATTGGCTAATGGCTTCATACTATATTATGATATGAGGTCAACGCTAATAGACATAGCTCTAGTATTTGTTTCACGAGAACAGTATTACATTGAATTTTTCATTGTTGCAGACAAAGGGGTGGTATTATCAAAGATGGAGTCTAGATGACCTTTGGAGAAGAGCATAGGGCTGCCATGATCATAAGATGGGCCTACCAGAGTCTAGAAGCTTCTGGCTGGCGGTCGTGACATCGACAGCGCTCCTGGTGGCTGGTAGGGGAACTAGAATATTTTACCAGTAATATAAGTTAATATCACATTCCAAAGCTAAATTCCATCACCATGTTAAAGTTATGCCAGTTTAAAAATTAAAGTCGTCGTAGTTGATGTGAGCCACTGCAAGATTGTGCTGATAAAAAAGACTGATTTCTGTCGAATAAACAAACTTTTTAACAAGTCTAACAATAAAACTACTTACTGTGAACTATAAAAACAAATTAAACCCATCTATGTCAGCAACAAAAAGTAAGGTAGAAAAAGCCTATAATTTTATACACTAGCGCTTTCCGTGACTGGCTTACACAACTAAAAAAATTGGCAACACCTGGTCCATTTAGATGGGATATCCACTTCAGTATCTAATAGCCAATGATGTAGTTTTGAAAGAAATGCACTCAATAAGGGTGCATAGTAAACTATGTGCTATTTGAATGAATTCAAAATTGATATTGAATAAATTGGCTACAACTGGTCCACGTATAAGGGATGTATATTTCAGTATCCAATAGTCAATGATATACTTTTGAAAGAAATGCACTCAATAAGGGTGCATAGTCAACTATGTGCTATTTGAATTAATTCAAAATTGATATTGAATAAATTGGCTACAGCTGGTTCACGTATAAGGGATGTCTATTTCAGTATCCAAAAGCCAATTGTAAACTAGAAGTACAATTTTTACAAAAAAAAATGTGATGAGAACAATAATAACTCTTATATGTCCAGCCTAAAACAATTATATATTTTACATAAAATTTTAGTTTAGTTGTGATACCAACATCTGTTTCAAAAAAAAACTTAACAATTTTTGAACATCACTTCATAGACGAGAAATATACTTGTAATTTTTACAGAAAAACACGTGGGTAATTTTTGTTGTATTGTCCTTAAGGAAACCCATTCTATAAAACTTCTTTCACGATAATTCTAAGAAACAAAGCCCCAATAAGACTGCAGAATCAGCCTATGTTTTTGTGTAAAACCAGACAATAAACCATTAATTTGTTCTATAGTCTGTGGTATACACAATATATTCATACGGTATGAATAATTTTAAACCATGGGAAAGCTCAATCAATTAAACGTGCCAGCCATAAAACTTCTCCATTTGCACTTAACGTTCATATTTCAATTACTATGGTTAGCTTTTGTGTGTAGTTTAAGAAATTGATAACGTTTTTATTTGCTTGGGAATTAATCAATTCTAAAGTACAACATTTTTATCACTGTACACTTTCATTGTGACGTTACCTAATCCAGTAAACTAATGGAATAGTAAATATACAATTTTGAAACGAAATAACTAAAGGTGTGCTTAGAAGTGTGCTCTTATACAACTTATAGAGAATAAATATTATTAAAATACTTCATAGAATAAAAATAGAATTCTTATTGAAATGTCATTGACCTTAAAGCTAGCAAATTTATCTTTCCCATTTAGTCTCCTAGAAACGATTGTCTTGTCTGAATATTCATTATAAAGCGATATTCTTTGTAGTATAACTTCTGGAGACGGCAAATGACAAAACCGGTTCTATAAAGCATATAGAACCATTTGTATTTCATTTAATCCAAATAGTATTTTCGGTGTAGCTAATTTCTTATTACGTTATACATGTTATGGTCCTTTGAGGCTTTCAATTAATAAACTTAATGAAACAATCCAAAGCAGTATTGTTTATGATGTTTGCGGAATTTTCGTAATGCCCATTTGAATATTTTAACGGCCGCCTTTCAATTTTGGCATAATAAAATGAATTTTTAAGTCGTAAGTGTTAAAAATGTCCAAGGTTTTTGCCAAATTTTATAAAAATATAATTTTAGGTTGCCAAAATTGTTTATTTGTAAACAAATAGAACGGCGCACGACGGGTAGCCTCAGCTAAGTCAAACAAAATTTCACCTTATTTATTTTATTCAACATCTAAAATAATTTTAACCTCCATATTTTATATTTCTAAGTGAAGACGATCCTGGTGGTTTGTCACCCAATGACAGGACTTGATGACAGTCCTTGACTTGTTTAGTTAATGTCACACGTCGTCACGTCGCCTCGAAGCTCTAAGGACCTTCACCCCGTTATAAGGACCTGCCAGAAGTTAGCCATCATTTAGTCAACGGTTGGAAATCCTTCACGTGATTTGATTCTCAAGGTCGGAGATTGCAAAAGAGATGGCCTCACTTAGAAAGTTTGTCAAATTGAATGAAATGTTGTTTGTTAAAAGGATAAGCTAAGTATAAAGGGATGTGTTGGTTAGGAACCATTAAATTTATTTTGGTTACAAAGTCTGTACATAAAAAAATACCAATGTAACAGTTTACCCCTTTCTGTTGTACAAACATTTTTATGACAAAAATAACTGCATTTTAAAGATAACTGGCTATTCGTAAAATATTGATCTCTAAGTAAAAACAATATGTTATGATTTTTGAAAATCGAAAGCCGGTTTGTCTGCCTTATAGACGCTTGGTTTTTTGTATAAGCATCCGATGTAGCGTATTAAATATGTAGGTTTTAATTTAAAGAAATTAAAACGTCACAATGAATTAATTGGTTAAAATCGTTTAGTAAGTAGATTGAATATAAAATATAAAACATAAAATAGGAGATCATAAAATCAAGGTAATTTACTACAAAGTCTACTCCGTGACGTTAGCGTAGTTGCCTTGTTATTTCTGCACCTCATTTTCACCTTCAGCACGAATCGTCCTAGACCTTAATTGTCATAATTATCTTTGTAATGATATCCTAAAATGCAGGATAATTACATCATTCGTAAGTATAATGTATTCCGTAATATGACAAATTCTACACATTTTTTGCATTTGTTTCTACTTTGTTGTTGTTGTGCAGACAAAATCTCTGATAAAAATATTTTAAAACACTAATAAAATTATGTAAAAATGTTTAAAATAACAATGTTAAAATTTGGGATTGTGCTAGTGGTAAGTGTCTCGGACTTCCCTATTAATTGCAGTGAAAGACTTTCTTAATATGTACGATGTTACCTTTATAAATAAGTTCAAAATTTTGTCATTTTAAATCTCTTCATCTATAGTAAATGCTCTAACCTAAGCGAAAAGTAAACTTCATGCTGATATAGTTTTTTTTTTTTTACATTTAAATTACTAGGTTTTTATTCTTATCCTAACCAGATAAAGGGAAGCTTCCTCGTATCAAATGCAATCTGGGTCAAGAAACACATCGAATTTACAAATGCCAGACACTTAATGTGACCTTAACAGTTTTTGCCAAGGCAAAACGTCAAGGCAAGCTAGTGATAACTGTAGTAGTCTGTAATGTTAATCAACCCAAGATGGTGGATATGGCTTATCTGAACTTGAACTGTACCAAACCTTGATTTTATAGTGGCTAAATAATACAATTATTGTTCTTCATTCTTTTTCATTAAATACATTCATAATGTAATGAGTGATTGAAATTCATTAGGATAATTTCATAGTACAAATAAATTAGTAATAAGCTTGTCATGTTGATGAAGAGTATACTTTATAATTTTGTTACTCCATGAAAGCACAACAAAATTAAAATGGTTAACTTGGTATTGTAAAAAAAATAATCTTTGTTGGTTCCCAAAAGATATACATATTTTATCTAGGTTTTTTTAATTAGCCTAAAATGAAATAGGAACAAAAATGTATTTGCAGAAATTATAAAACAATTTAGAGTTTCATATAATTACTAATAATAGACATACGACAAATTTACAGGATTTCATAGCAGAAAAAATATTCATAAGCAATCGACGTGAAACTATAATTTTTAAGACTAATTATAAAAAAACTGAAAAAAATATGTACAAATAATTTTTACTCGTAGCGTGAAACATTAACAACTTTTCTTTTTAACGTTGTTCCCAAAATATATTGCTATTAGCAGAGTACCCGTCCTTCGTACGGGTTTGGCAAATAAGTATAAAATGTTTATTGCAGTTATACCCGATCTTTGCGTTTGCGATGTGAGAAAACACGGTTTGAGAAAATTTGCTTCCTCAAATTTACGGCATGCGATAGTATTACACATCTGCCATAGCCATAATGTTATACTACTTCACCTACACAATAGAGAATGATAGATTATTAAAAATTCGCAAAATATCATAAATTATTCATGAAATTAAAAACATAAACATAACTGTAAACAATCCTACTTTGACAGTTCTCATTGTGTATCACAGTTTTTTGTTGCTGCTTAGTTCAAATTAGCTGTTTTCATAAATAATGAAAAAAAAATAATAGTGCTGCACCCTGTTGGTAAATCTTATACATTTTTAATGCTTTTGCATATCATAGAACCGACTCTTTTAGTTGAAACAGCTGGCTAAATTCTTTAATTCCCTTTAAATATGACTACTCATAAGGTTAACATGGGGAACTGCAGAGCCACTGGGGCGGAGCCCAAAAGGATTTTTGAGATAAGAATATGCCTATATGTTAATCGGGAATGTGAGCTATCATCATGCCAAATTTCAGCCCAATGCGACCAGTATTTTTCGTGTTTACTTGTCACAAACATACATACATCCATACATCCAAACTTTCTCATTTATAATATTAGTAGGATAAAATTCCAAAAATTAGAAACCCCCAAAACACATTTACATAATATTTTCATATTTATCTTTTTTAATTCATCGGTGACATAACAGATTATGCAGACGAATCTGGAATGAAGCCAGTGCCTTCTAGATTCCAGTCGCTCGCGTGCTGCTGTAGGCGTGCCGATGACGAAATTGTGGAGGCATTGGCCTCAATGTGTTTTAATGAATACAATTACTAACGCTTTGCACAAAGAAATTACAATTTTCTTGAAATTGCAATGCGTGTTTTTATAATTCTAAATATGGTTTTGTTGCAGTAATCGTGCTTTCGCAATCTAATTATGTACCCTTGGGCAATAGAATTTACTAAAGGAATAATAATTTGGGTATAAATGAGATGCGGGATGGTAAACAACCGAATAAAACCTAACAGCTGAGTGACGAACCGATACAACTGTACTATAAAACTCCTTTTACGTTTACGTTCCGATTTTATTCGAGGATCGGAGATTTGATGACATTAGTGATTCTTATTACCAACCTGTAAAATGTTCAACTAGTAAACAAGTATTGCGAAACAGGTTTAAATGGTTAGATGTAGATAATAGCGGGACAGCCTAGTTCAATTCATAACGATGATAATAATAATAACAAACATAATGGACAAGTTTCTATATGAATTTTCATCTTTAACATTGAAGAAAGGAATCAGCTTTAAAGCTATCCTTCTTGGAGAGAAAATCGTAGAGAAAGTAAAAATCGGTTTTGTACATTTACTCTCTTCAATATAAAACTTTTTAGAAGTTTAAACTAAATTTCTTCGAACTTTTATTTACAACCTAAATATGGTCATTTTAATGTTTTGTTTGGTCTATTAATGATTTCTCTTCTGCTGCATATATGTGTTATAAAATATAGAAGCTATGTTTCTAGTATGCTTCACTGATAGATACGGAAACTTAAATAGAGTTAATTAAACAAAAAAACACCGTTGTGATAGTATTTGGATGTTAATTAATTTAAAAACAAGGTCACTGTTAAAAGCGATAAGGGATTATCGAATCAAACGCACCATTATGTAATATATAAACGTAAACAATGTTAAAATGCCTATTTCATGTAAACTCAATGAAAAGAACCTAAATGTTAAAAACATGCCTGTAACGATTTCTACAAACAATATTTGAAATATAATATTAAATTACCTGAGCGGTTATGTACTTCCCCGATCAGCTGTTTACTTTCACATCTTGGATAATGTGTCATCGGGACAGTGACGTAGACTTGACTGAAACAGGAAGTGAAAAAGTGGAGCACTGTAGCCTCACAGTATCAGGTGATCAGTGTTGAATCACCGGCTGTGCACTTAATATAGTATATCTATAGATGTATTCACTTGGGGGACGATCTGGTCTAGTTGTTGAGGGTAGGATTTTCGTCCCCAAGGTCTTGGGTTCAAATCCCACCAATCACCAATGGATTTTAACATTGGATTTTTCTGGACACTGTTCAGACGACCAAGGATTACATTGGCAACGAGGTATTTAACCTCTAGGATATAATACCTAATCCGTAAGCCAACACCTAAAAAATGAGGGAAAAATTAAATGTAACCATTATTACATAGCCTACATCATTTTTTATCATGTACAATGCTGCACATCGGCTTATTGGCACTAAAGCTTTACTAATTGCAACAATTCTAGAAAGATTTATCAATATTCCTCGTTAACGATATAGAGATTTTTTATTTTGTATGTCTACTCTAAGACTATGCCTACGTGATCCGTTCTTCACTGAAGGAAGTCTAGAGGTCTGATCAAGGAGGCAGGGTAGTTGACCTCTGTTTGACCTACATACGTCACTTCCTGTCCTCCCTCACAGGTCATTAATATAGTTTCCAAAACCAGTTGACCCAAAAAACTAGACAGCTTGTTGTTTTCTTGTTTTATTGGAATGCTTTTGAGTTTTTATTTGACCTCCTTATGAAGATAATCGATAAGTATGTAGAGAATATCTAAAACAGCCCATCTCTGAGGTTTTCAGCCCGCTGGGACATCACAACAACATAAAAGGATGACACTAGTTTATCATCAAATTAAAGCAAAAACATGATTTTTGTAGTGTACAAAAGTACTTAATGTTTTGATAGTTTATATGTTGTTATAACTTTATTTTTTTACATGTATGGATACAAAATTATTAAACCGTCAGAAGATACAAATATAACCTTGAAACCCTGTTTAGGCTATCTACCAAAACTTCACAAACTTTTAATACTTTCAGCTTTTTTCAGTAAAATTTGAGCACTAAAACTACAAGTTTAACATACATCATATTGAGTTTTGTTTTGACGTTGGTTTGTGTATGTTTATATTAGGTTTTGTAATTATTTTTTTGTTAAGTTACTCACCATTTACTATTGTATCATAGCTTTATGAATGTTTCTAGAACTCTATAAGTTCTTATAAGTTTTTTCTCATAATTTTCTTTCCTATCACAGGATGTGCGGCCCAGGATGAGTTGAACAGTGTTCGTAATGTTGGAGACCTGTGGAACACATCTTCTTGTATAGAACCACCCTTCGCTTGTCCCCACCCCCGCATACAGTTCTTCTTATATACCAGGTAAGCAAACTTTTTATAGTTAAATACTTATTACTTTGATATTCACCAGTTAAGATATTAACGTCTAAACGGTCCAATCAAGTAGTTGTGGTCTAAACTGTGAAATAATCTTTGAAGATTTATGAATCTACTTTGGAAGATAAGACAGTAATTTTGTGCTATGAGGTTTTGAAAGCAAATTTGGCTTGCTGAACCACCTAAAGGTTTTTACTAGAGAAGCAATATTCGTTGAGTGACAAACTTAGGGCTAATTTCGTTGTCTAGAATGCACATAATTAATATTTGTTTTGTAGGGAAAACTACTAAATTTTATGTGTCTAAGTGTCCTTTTTACACAAACACAAAACATTACCTAAAAAACTCACTAGAAATTAACTTAAGTTATAGATGTTATACACAGCTTAATAAGAATACATATTCAATAGCTTAAATACAATTTTAGTGTGGAATAATCATCGTAGTTTAGCAAAGAACACTAACTAGTTTCGTTATAAGTATCTAATAAAATAGTTACACAATCGTGGTAAACACGTAATATATGAGACTTGGCAACAGGGTAAATTGAGAAAAAATAAACGATTGTACAATAACAAAAACAAATTTAGCAGTTGTTGTTATCAGTCCTTAAGAAATATGTTGTTAGACAATTTTCATCAATAAACTGATAAAGGAGTTTCACCAAATACGCCTGAAATCCTTAATTAACTTCAAGGCGAAGTGCAGTACTAGAAGGAGCAGCTTCATGTTATGTAACACAAGCCCAGTAGAAGAGACAGTTTCATAAGCTCCAGTTGGTAAAAATACTCGGTCGCAAGGGTCAGCTGTTGTCCTTGGAGAGTGAAAGTGGAGAAAGGTTCCATTACTTTCACTAGTTACGCGGATGACGTGAACGTCCGTTTATTTCCGGACTCGGACGTAAACAACACATTGCAACAAAGGTGTAAATCATGCAAAAACAGTAATTTTGTATATATTTTTTATATATAATTCGTAGTCTTTCCTAGTCCACTAGAAGTTCTTGAAGGTTAGAAACCTAGTGCGACTGTGGAAGCTGGTTCACAGTATTTTCACAGCATTTTAATGTACAGTATATGATATTGTCAATAGCTATGGCACTATTTCCTTTATCAAACATTGTGGAGAATGTTAGAATAGAACGTTTATAGGCATTAGGAAGTGGTGTGTTGGTGGTATTGTAATACATCCATAGCTGTGACATTATGAGTTAATAGTTTGTGATGTAGTTCAGTTAATTATTATTAGTACTTGCTTTAATCTAGTTTTGTGTTTAGTTTGACAAATGTCTAATGGACAGGAAAATTCAAGTTGTAATGCAAATAAATTTAGTTTATACAGGGTGAGTTTCTACTGACCGTGTTAACTTCGCCAGTAGGTTCTACTCACTAAAAGGAACAAAAAAGTTCATATAAACCCATGTCCGATTTTCAACCGTTTGGCTGTAATAGGGGATTTTGTGTTTTTCTTATTTTATTAGACTTTGCTCCACAATTTATGTAATAAAAACTTAACCAATTACTTTAGAGAGTTATAGTTAAAATCATTGGAAAGAATATTAAATTTGCTATAAATCAAAGGTTTCATTCAAGAATTATACCATTACATAGTCCACGTTATATCCAAAATAAAGTAAAAATGTCATTAAATTAATTAATTACGATAATTTTTATGAGCCTACTTTGATACAGAAACCTTCATCTATGCAATGTTGAAATGCATAAAAAAACTTGGCCATTTAATAATCTTTCAAATGATATGCTATTCAATACTATTATTGATATAAACCAGTGAGAAATTACTAATAAACTACAATAAAACACGGTTTACAGATTTTGTTTTTGCACAGTTTTACTGTTGATAATAATTACTGTATACTCCATGTTGTATTTTATTGAACAATCTGATAAGATTTGTACATTATTTTAACTTTTAAATATTTATTAAAATTATCTGAATTAATAAAATGTATAAACTCAAGGTTTTTCACATTTTCAAAGATGTAGTGTGTTTGATTCTTAAATGCTGTATAATTAGTTTTACCTTGTGCTTGATTAAGTCAGCTTTTATTGATTTGTCATCTATAGCTAGATAACTCAGCTGCTTAAACATACCTTGTTGAGTAATTTGCTGTTTTAACTTTATATTTCCAATTCAATTAAGAGTTTTTCAACATTTATTAAACTATGGAGCCTTTTACCAATCAAGAGTATGCCAACATGATGAATACAGTAATTATTATTAACAGTAAAAACTGTGTCAAAACAAAATCTGTAGACCGTGTTTTATTGTAGTTTATTAGTACTTTCTCACTGGTTTATATCAATGATAGTATTGAATAGCATATCATTTGAAAGATTATTAAATGGCCAAGTTTTTTATGCATTTCAACATTGCATAGATGAAGGTTTCTGTATCAAAGTAGGCTCATAAAAATTATCTTAATTAATTAATTTAATGACATTTTTACTTTATTTTGGATATAACGTGGACTATGTAATGGTATAATTCTTGAATGAAACCTTTGATTTATAGCAAATTTAATATTCTTTCCAATGATTTTAACTATAACTCTCTAAAGTAATTGGTTAAGTTTTTATTACATAAATTGTGGAGCAAAGTCTAATAAAATAAGAAAAACACAAAATCCCCTATTACAGCCAAACGGTTGAAAATCGGACATGGGTTTATATGAACTTTTTTGTTCCTTTTAGTGAGTAGAACCTACTGGCGAAGTTAACACGGTCAGTAGAAACTCACCCTGTATATCCTAAAAATTCCAATAGAACCTTAGAGTCGTATTGAAAAGAAGGAAAGGAAATGAAGACAAAAATACGTATTTCCTTGAATTTTGATAGTGCCAAACTACTTATTATGTTGGTTCTTTAAGGTTATTATGTAGAGTATACACTTACAAGACAAACTTAAATTAATTAATATAAGAACCATAACGTCGCTGTTTTAGTCTATTAAAGGAGGTATTCTTTTATTATGTAGGCCTACCATAAATCTTTAAGTTGATTTTAAAGCTTGTAAATATAATCAGTTCTCCAAATACAATACTTACCTATCTCCAAAATTCTCACGGACAATAGTGAAAAAACTACGAACCCAAACGTCTTAACTTTTAAATATTAATCTCCAAAAATCTCACGGACAATAGTGAAAAAACTACGAACCCAAACGTCTTAACTTTTAAATATTAATCTAACCACAAAATGTATCATTACTGACATTTTTAAAATACTATCTCAACCTGGTAAAAATTAAACACAATATACGCTGTGCATCAATGTTGAATGGATCAATACATGTCCATGATCGTTGCATGGTCACGTTCCAAAGACACAATTCAGAACTGTGGTTTCTGCTCAAATCAGAGGCAAACTCTAAACTTGGCATCAGAGTTGTGGTTTGGTTTCCTTTCACTTCACATTATTTGCTCACAATTCAGGTTTGACCTATACTACTGTCCTAAGCGGGGAAAATTGAAATGAAACTACTGTATGACTAGGTGGGTGATAAGATTATTGTGTCCTTTTAGACATTTAGTTGCTTTGGTGGTTTTGGGCGAATTTAACTGTTTGATAGATGTCAAATTTACAAAGTTGAATTGACTTTAGTGGTTTAGTTTTTTTTTATCTTAAAGCATTTAGATGTGGGGTTAAGAAAATTATTTTCAGAACATAGTTTTAACTACGGAATAAAATTAAAGCAAGGCATTCCAAAGTTTTCCAAAGATATGTTGTTCAAATAGTTGGCTTTTACTTAAATTAATCTAATTTTAAGGTAAAAAATACATAATAGGGCTAGGTTATACTGATGATTGGTTTATAAAATATAGGATAATTGAGATCCACATAGCATATCCAAGATGTTAATAACTAAGACTTTAGCGTTTTTCAGTAATGTTGAAAAATAGTGAATATTTCTTTTGTTGAACATTTGTTAATGATTTTTCATTATTCTTGTATTTGGAACATCTTACACTCTACATCGGTTACCACAAGAAAAATAATTAACAGGACTATTTGTTGAAAATGTTGAAATTAATTACTATCTAGCTTACTTTTGATGGAACCCCTTTGCATTGACGTTGAACAAATCATTGAGATTGAAACATAATATTTTACTACTGGTTTCCCAATAGCTTGTCATTTTATACATGCAAACTATAGTCTGTATGATGGAACCGGGCCCCTGACCCTCCTCATACCTGTAGACTAGCCAATGGTTTGAGTACCAGGCCAGGGTGAGTACCAGATAAACGGAGGGTAAGACATGTTTCTACATACAGACTATATAGCTCCTCGATTACTCGCAGGTACACGCAGCAGAACCCAGATCTCCTAGACACTACGGACCCCGACTCCTTGTACCAGAGTCATTTCAACCCAGCACATCCTACGAAGGTGATCATCCATGGGTTCCAGGGGGGTCGCAACCTGGCTCCCAGCACGGACCTTCGGGATGGTAAGTGCTTTGATCCTGTAGGAGTCTATGAAGTTGGGAAGGGTCTCTTTTTCATAGCCCGGGGTCGTTGTTCAAAATACTTGCTTGGCCTATCACTTAGATTCCATTGATGATCTGGTGGGATTTGAACCCGAGGCCTCAGGGAACGAAGTGTCCCACTCTACCACTAGACCAGCTCACTTTCCTGAGGAAGAGACTAGAAAATACTATTAATAAATGAAGATATTTTAGAGTTAACAAAAAATTGATTGATAGGTCGTGGTAAGTGGAAGAGGAGCTGAGCTCTTGGATAAATGTCATAGGCACCATGTATTTTATATACTAATATTATATGAGGTGAAGGTTATCTAGGATCATGCGACGTTTGTCAAATCGAGGAGAACTGAAGGACAAAGATCACGTAGTAGTTTGATGATGATCAACAATCACGATGTTACTATAGAACATACAGAGAAGAATACGTACTCTTCTCGTCATTCAAGGTCGTTTAGCAAGAGTTAGGAAACATCTTTGTTCAAGCGGTTAAGACCTTAACACTAAAAAGACCTTGAATGGTTTCACTATGGAATTAAGTAACTGTCTTCAATGATTGGAAATTGGTCTTGGACAAAGGGTGCATGTGGTGTTGTATACTAAATACATCCACATACATCCATTGTCACCTAATATTTAAGTAATCTTGCAAGATCTTTTAAAATTTGACTGAGAAATGTAGGCCCTACATGTACATTTTTATGAGTGGCTGAAAAAAGGATGCACCTTTCACAGTCATAGTGTGGAATGCTGAAAACATTTGTATTGAGAACAAGGGATCCAATAATACGTCCCCAATAATCATCCAGGCAAAAAAGCCAAAAAGATTACAAAACAAGATATGTTTTGAGAGGTTTATTACGATATACCATAAGGAATAGTTTGTAAAAAAAATACATTACATGTATGTTTCTCAGTGAATAGAAAATATTAGCTCAGGTTGTGAAGGTAAATCCAATGATGATAAATTTAACCTCAGTGGTGCTCAAATTTCTAATGTTGCTTACCTATAAGGTTATTATAAGGTAACATCAATAATAGCTTCATTGAATATAAGTACATGGAAATTGAGTTCATATCTTGGTACCTTCCTCTACTTTTCATCAGCACAGCTCACCCTAGTACTGTACCGACTCACCCTAGTACTGTACCGACTCACCCTAGTACTGTACCGACTCACCCTAGTACTGTACCGACTCACCCTAGTACTGTACCGACTCACCCTTGCTTTGCTGGATACCTCCCACGCACATGTCCCTGTGGCCCATGTGAACGGACAAATGCAAGGTAAAATAGATTGCAAACCTAAAAAAAATCTTTCACAGCACTTGACACATTCCTTCGCCTTTTTTCAGCCTATTTCCGTCGTGGCGACTACAACATCATCATCGTCGACTACTCCACCCTAGTCAAGCTGCCGTGCCTAAGCCAAATGGAGTGGTCGCCAAGGTTCTGTGGTCAGTGTATAGCCCAGATGGTGGAGTACCTGGCGTACCACCCCAGAGGAGTACCTCCAGACTCACTCCACCTCATGGGGTACAGCATAGGAGCTCACATTGCCGGGCTGACCGCCAACTTCGTACAGGAGGGGAAGCTGGGAAGGATAACTGGTGAGTATATTTTGTTCAGATAAAGAAGGCGGTCGAGGATGTGGCCAAATGAATGCAAACCTTATTCTTTAGCCAAAGGTAGGATTTATACCAAAACTCCTTAGTTTATTTTTGACAGACATAACATTTTTTTTTTGACAGACAATTTTTTGGTTTGGTAGTATACGTATGACGTATCGTGGATCTTGAGATAGTTTTGGAATTTAGTTTGTGGTTTTATGTTGTAAGTTAAGTTATGTATACTATAAATAATTAAGGTCTTGTATTGGGAAAATATTGTTTCGAAATATATTTGAAGTTGAAGTAGAGTTTTCTTAACCTACAGTTTAGTACCGTTGACTTTTGGAAAAGTACATAGTCCTTCCACCTACATGGGCCAACCTAGCCAGTTTTTTTTTTCCGAAACAACGTTGGCCAATAAGCCAATTACAGAGTGCTATAGTTTAAAATCACATTTTTATTTCACAGTCAAGGATGGTAACGAGTAATTATACGTTAGATTTAGGCAACGTTGTGTTAGATGGGTTATAACTTATCAAAATAATGTGGACAGGATTGTAAGAAATGCAAAATATATAACATGTGTGTATGACATACACGTAAAAGTGTTCTTGCTAGGTTCCCAAAAACCTTGACTTAGTTGGGTTGAATTATTGGGTTATTACTAATGGTGCTATTTATATTACAGTAACAGGAAAGTTTAATATTTCCCCTATAAGACTTAACTAATTTACATTTTTTGTAATTCTTGAAATGTATAATTTATTTGTTTTGAAAGGATAAGGATTTGTCTGGTGATTGAGGATATTCAGTTTTCTTAAAAATAATTTGTTAGTCCATTTATAAATAAAATAACAATCCAAAAAGTGTTTTTATAAAATTCAACATGAAACTACGCTAAACTAAACAAGAGTTAAAGCACAAATAGGCCTACATGGTGAAATCCAATTTCTGAATAAGAAAACCCGAGTAAATCTGGCAGAATGTTTCAATATTCTATGAGGGCGTTGGCAATACATTTATGGGGATCATCTCATAACTCCAAGGTTTCATAACTCCAAGTGATCATAACTCCAAAGTTTCATAAGTCCAAGAGATCATAACTCCAAATTATATTTAATCCAAAGTTTCAAAACTACAAGTACCCGAAAAGGGATAATTTCATTACTCCAAGAAAAATATAAGTGCAAGTGATCATAACTCCAAAGTTTCATAAGTCCAAGATATCATAACTCCAAAGTTTCATAAGTCCAAGTAAAAATTAAAGCAGAGTGTCATAACTCCAAAAGTTGAGTCGAGTCTCATATCTCCAAGTGGAATGTGTAGTACAGTCAGCGCCACAAGTTCCTGCGCTGTCCGCTCCGCTGTAATACTGTCAGCAGCCTTTGCCGCATCATTGTATCCATATACCTAACGTCGCCTGTCAAACGATTATGTAATTTTGTTATATACTTACAGATTAATTAATTGATATACTTCTTACTTCTATGCTAAAGGTACTTTAACCTCGTCAAGGATATTGAGCAGATAGCAGACATAATAATCAAATAATTTCTAAAGTCAATGTTACATATGTTTCTCGTAAATGAAATGTATACTTGCAGTATCCAATCTCATTAGTATATATTTTGTTTCAAATGAATGCAATGTCTAATTTCGTTATTCAAAGTCAATTGCAAGTCTGGTTCAATTAAATGTATTGTCTACCTCAAAGTATATATGTGTCATCTGGTTCTCATAAATTAAATGTCTATTTGCAGTAGCAGTATCCTAAATCAATAGTACGCCAGCTTCACAAAAATGAGAAATTTACTTGCAGTATCCAATGTCAATGGTCCATTTGGTTCACATAAATAAGATGCCTATTTGCAGCATTCAAAGTCAATGATACGTCGGGTTCACTTAAACGAATTGTTTACTTGAAGTATACAAACTCAATGGTACATATCGTTCACATAAATAAATTGTCTACTTGCAGGATCCAAAGAAATGGTTAATTTGATTCCCATAAACGGAGTGCCGATTAGCAGTATATTAAGTCAATGTTACGTCTGGTTCACGTCAATGGAATGTCTACTTGCAGCATCTAAACTCAGTGGTATCTCCGGTTCATAGTAATGGAAGTCCTAATTATTGCAGTACCTATTCAAAGTCTGCATTACTTAATTGTAAGTCTAGTTCACTGAAATGGAAAGCCTACTTGGAATTGCAAGTTAAATGGAAATATAACTCAATGGTAGGCTTATATTTGGTTAAAATGTAATGGATATTTAGATTATTTAAAGTCAAAGGTGTTTCAGCCTTATTCTGGCGACCATAATTATTGGTTGTTTTCATTTTGTAGTAAATTATGCTCAATGATATTAATCTTATTGTTCTTCCCTTTTTCTGTGTCTTATACGGTAATGTACTTTTTAAACGATTCTTTGACTAACATATGTGGCAACTCTTGTTTATCTTTTTAGTGTTATCTCGCAAATAAAGTCATAGCAACCAATGAACCCATAAGGCCCATGTTAAATAAAAAAAAAAAAATCACGTAGGGAAAAGCCCTGTGGTCCAATTTGTACCATTTAAGATTTATACATTCCCATGGTTGGTTACTATGATCGTGCTAAATTTCGTGTAGATCGCTTCAGCTGTTCAGGAGGTATTTGTAAAACAAAAAGAGGAGAGTAGTATAAGAGCTTCGCTTTGCGCCGTTCAATTACTAATGGTTGTTAATCCTCTATATATCGAAAACGGCTAATACGATTTCCTTCTAATTTGATAAATAATTTATATCTGGCCTAAAAACGTGTTTACTGCAGTTAAAACTGCTAGCAAAAAACTAACTACGCAACAAAATTGAATTGAAAGTCTATAATTTTTAACATTGGCCTCATTGGTTTCCAAGTAACCATGACCATAGACTAATAGAACTATTTTAAGTTGTAGTGTGTTGTTATGTTCACCAAGGTTTTACGAGCAAATTTACGAATGCAGTGCAAAGGGGAAAACACCAGTTGTTACTATTGAGCAAAGATTACACTGAAGATTACTCAATGTAGGGGGGGAATGGAGGGTTCAATGGAAATAAACTAATACCACTACCCTGTCATGGCTTGGTTCCCAGGTACTACTACATAAAACCAGGGATACCGTCACCTCTAATTGAGACTTTTAACGAAATTCCCATAATAAGGAATAATCTATTACCGTAGATCTCATGGTAAGACCTAAACCCGGAACCGATTTTTATCTTCATTTTAAGAGCCCCAGAGGACAATACACACTTCGTTCAAACTCATATGCTGTACTGTATACAATATATGTGTGTGTAAATTTGGAATAAAGGTTAAATTTGAAATATGTAGATCTTGATGAGTTTAAGTTATAATTGGGCCTATTAGGCTATGCTGATTCAAAATGTCCAATGACGATTTGTCCTTAGTTAGTGATTTAAACGAGATGGATGATGGTTACCAATTTGGAGTCTCTGTCTTCACCTTTGTACCACATGCAATAAATAAAATAGGGGTTGGTTAAAATTTGGTACTTTTCAAGGCACTTGTCCCTAATACTTTTGATTTAAAACAATTTAAAATTTAGATTACACTTTGAGATGAATTTAATTTAAGTCAAGCACAATGTCCTATAAAGTGATTAGTACAGGTAAAATTATATTAAAAAACCAGTAGAAAACATAAAAATTAGTCCATTCATGAAACTTTCAGGAAACGTAGTAATTACCATTAGGTATTGGAATCCGAAGAGTCCCTAGTGATTGTGGGGGTGGAAGTACCATTTTATGGGGTTTTAAGTTTATGGGGGTAGTGATTTTGAGAAAATATTTATTTATGGGATCCAAGCAAGTGGGGTGTCGTTTTCTATGTTTCTTAGGATGCAGAATCGAAAAAGAACATAATAAAAGCAATAAAACCGACAGTTTATCAGAAAAAGACTAATTTATTAATGAAAAACTAATTATGACAAATTAATTAAGGTAAAATAATCCAGTTAATTAATATCAATCACCTATTACAAAATTGATCATGAGTCTGTGTCACATGTTAAAGTTGTGAGGAAAATTAACCAAGAAACTGGTAGTTACGACTCTTTAACCACCACGTGTCATATTGTTCAACAGCTACTGATGCATCATCACCTTCCATGGAATCGTCAGGGTCTCTAACTCGTTCTTCTCCACAGCTTAGTAGTGGGGATGGGTAGCAGAAACATATTTTAGTTCTGGCGATGATCCTGCAACTTAGGGTGAAGATAATATATAAGACCAAGTATGTAAAACCACCCAGACCCGAATTTTGAAGGACCTTGGTCGCCCGTAATGACGTCATCAATATGGCGCTCGTAAGAGGATGCTGGGTCGCTATGAATTGGTTACTATACCAAAATGCTTGAACCAATTTTAATGAAATTTGGCATACAAGTACTTGAATACTATATCTAATCCCAGTTTGTTAATGGTCGAGTGTGGTTAGGTCCTTTCAAAATGGCGGCCGTTAATAATTAAAATAATTAAAAATTGTTTAATGTTTTGTTTTTTCAACTCTCTCCAGAAATCCGCAGCGATCTTTCATTTTCCTTGCAATCACAGGTTGCGATGCCATCTCTGCATTTCATGGAATAGACAAAATACCCCAACCACAGCAAACCTGCAGATTAAGTGAGTTTCCATTTGCCTGATTTGATTTTCAATTAAATCCATTTCAATAACATCAAGTTTAGTGTTAACTAGGTTTGCTGCTACGGGGAGAGTAATAAAGTTTGTTTTATTATTAAAATATGAATAGGTTAAATAAATTCGCCAAGTTTTATCAAAATATAACTATAAACTAGCAAAATAACTAATCAGGGTATTAAAAATAGTTTAGAGAGAAATTTGAAAATTTTACGTTTAGAGGGGCAAACATGAGAAAACCCAATTATTACCCCATAAATCCCCCAGAACACCCTGTTCTCATGCTCCGATAATGCTGGTTCGCGAACTCGTTCGAGTA